TACCTCCATGCCTCTGTGTAGCCTTGTCCTCCAGCCTGCCATGCCTTCCTCTCCATTGTTTGTTTCTCTGAGCCCTTTCCTGCCCTTGGACATCCCCACTACCTCTAGGATACTATTTCATCAGATCCCGACCCATAGGACACCTCCCTTCTTTGGAACCCCTTGGAGAACAAATGTCTGTGACTCTGTGTCATCTATCTAAGTTCTTCAGTCTCAGTCTTATTTTCTGTAAAATGGGCACAATAATAGTCCCACCTCACACAGTTCTTGTGCAGGTTAAAAGATGTAAAGCACATGGTAAACTTAGAACAGTAGCTGGCACAAAGCCTCAAGGCAAGTATTCAATAAATGGAAGATACTATTATTAATAATCGAGATTGTAATTTTTATTACTGCATGATGCTTTGTGTTGTTTTAATCTAACTCTCTCATGAGGGGTAAATCTTCTGAGAATGGGGATCAAGTCATGTCACAGTTCCTGTAATGCTTCAGCATCAAGATCCCAGGACATGTTTGTTGAGGATGGGTGAGCAAACCCTAACCAAAGAGGTGGAAGCTCAATGTCAATATGAGCTCTACCAGCGACTCAGCGTGTGACCTTGACTTATGTTCCTGGCATCTTCGTTTCTTTCACTTTGTATCATCATCCCTAATATTCTGTTTGAACGTGGATTTCAAATCCAAGCCCGATATTGATTCTCTGTGTTAATTTGGGCACATTCTTCAATCTTCTTAGTCCTCAGTTTCTTAATCTATGAAATGGAGAGAATAATCTTGTTTTACTATTGGCTGTAAGAATAAATGAGGTATTGCTTATAAAATGCTCACCTCAGTACTCAGTGCAGTTGCACTTGTGGTGGTTTTATCATAGCTGTTTGATTTTGTTATTTGATAAACACTAGACTTGTTGAATGTATTAGTTTCCTGGGTCTGTCATAAAAATACTACCGATTGGATGGTTTGAACCACCGAAATTTATTTGTTTCATAACTCTGGAGCTTAGATGTTCAGAATCAGGGTGTCAACACGGTTGATTCCTTCTGAGAGCTGTGAGAGAGAATCTGTTGCAGGTTGGGAAGCCTTAGGCTTGTAGATGGCATTTGTCTTGGGTCTTCACATTGTCTTCCTTTTGAGCATGTCTGTCTCTGTGTCCTTTTGTAAAGACACCAGTCATATTGGATTAGGACCCATCCGAATGATCTCATCTTAACTTGATCACCTCTGTAAAGACTCTATTTCCAAATAAGATCACATTTTGAGGTACCAGCAGTCAGAATTTCAACATACCTTCATGCTATAGAGTCACAATTCAGCCAGTACCATTGAAAATGATTAATAGTTGTATTTCTTAAATGAAATAGAAATGAAAAATCACTGGACAGTGATTCCCCTTCCTTCCACTGCACTTGACATTCACAGCAGTTCTTTTAACTGGATCAGGTGAGTGGAGTTAGTTTTGATGAAGATCCTCTTCTTTCTGCAAAGCAACTCCCAGAACCGTTGTCCTGAGTGGTGAGTCCCACAAGTACTTTTGGAATTGTAAGTCTATCACTTCTAGTTCACGACGTTGTTATAGGGCCCCCGGGATGGAAATAACACACCAGGTCTCAGTCAATTGGTGTTCTTTCCCTGTTTTTATAGCACTCTGCAAACTCTCCTGCTGTTTACATGTGACTTATATTCCTCTGGTGGTCCCTAAATAGATGTAATAAAAACAGATTTAGAATATTAATCTGACATGATTCAAGCCAACATGGTCTAATAGAAATTTATTTACTGGAGATGGTGAAAAATCAGAAAGAGTAGAGTGTGAATCATTTCTTAGTAAGTACTTGTTGCTGGCTTCTTTGGCAGTCCTGGATTTCCGGTGTTGTTTGTGGAAAATGCAGATTTCAAGGCCCTGCCCCCATCCTGCAGATTCAGTGTCTTTCAGGGAGGGGTCCTGGAATTGGCATTTCTGTTGATCTGCCCATGTTCCGAGTGGTGCTTCACCCTGCAATGTTTGAGAACCATTGGTTTCCATCCTCTCAGAAGGAAATGCATTGTGTTATCTGAGTCAGATGGGTTTCAGTGCTGGAGTCTGTCAAGGGCTGAAGACCAGGAGGGCCAGGAAGCAGGTGTGGGGCAGACGGCCCAGGGATGGTCTGTGGGCAAAGGGAGGAGTCAAGTAGCCATGGTGAGGACAAGTGTGTCCAATCCTTTGTGAAGTGACATCTGCTGAGCATGCTAAAAGGACAGTGGATTTCAGGTGTGACAGGGAGGCCTGTAAAGGTTGATGGGGTCTGGACTGTCGGCAGGTGGTTTGACCTGGGGCATAAGTCTCTGGCAGCCTCAATGTATGGAGGTCCGAGCATCATCCCTATCAAGGGTCTAGCAGCTGGGAGCACTGGGGTGGGGTAGGGGGTGTAGGAGGGGCTGACGCCTAGTCCTGAGGGGGGCTAACTCCACTCACCTGACTCCACTCACCTGACTCAGTGAGGTGGGGCCTCAGAGCCACTTGGAGAGAGCTGTGTGCAAATTTGGATTTCTGAGCTTGAACCAGCCCTTCTTCATTACACTGTGGGAATCTGTATTTTTAAAGCTCCCCAGGTGATTTAATGTGACAGTCCCTGGGGATAGCATTTGAGAAGCATGAGGAAAGAGTTGGCTTTGGGACCAGTGACTTGGTCCTAGTGCTGTGACCTTGATCGTGTTACTAACCCACTCTGAGACAGTTTGATTATCTCTCAAATGAAGATACAGATTTTTTTTCTTTCTTTCTTTGCTGTTGTGAGAATTATGGATAAGAGATGTGATACACTTAGCACACTCTCTGGCACACAGTAGGCCACAATAAATGGTGGCCCCAAGCCTTGTGAAACCCGAGATTCTAGGCACAATGAGAATCCACTGGGCAAAGGAGTCAACAGAGGGACTCTGACTGGAACTGGGATATAGGATGAGATCTTGACTCTAGACAACATTGCCTCCTGGTGTCCAGAAATGGAACTAGGAAAAAAAAAAAAAAAGAAAAAAGCAGCACTCATGTCGAGGCTTAAATAGTATTTACCTGTGCAGACCAGGCGCTATTCTAAGCACTTTAACCTTTTGAATAAGTACTATTGTTATCCCATTTTATATGTGAGAAAATTGGGGCTCGGAAAGATGCGTGCGTGGTCGCATGGTCCATTGTGCAGCAGAATTGAGTTTCAGACCCCGGTCATCTGGCTGTATCCTCAGCCCCCTGTTGCTGCCTGTTTAAGCCTCATGTGAGGACAGAGTGGTCTTTGAACCACAATGCTGAGTCTCAAAAGTAAGCTGGGACTCAAGAAAAATGTTTCCACCTATTTTTTTTTTTTTTGCCATACATTTCTAGATGTTAAATTGTACAGCCACTTCATGACAAAGTTAGAAAAGGTGGCATTTTCATAGCAGAAACTGAGCTCTAATAACCTCCACTATTGCCAAAGGCTTGATAAGTTCTAATAGAAAATCCATAACACAAAATTATCTTAGAGTGAAAATCCCTTGACCACTTTATATTCCATTCTTGCATAAGATTTTTATTTTTTAAATTTTATTATTATTGTTCTTTAAGTTCTAGGGTACATGTGCACAACATGCAGGTTTGTTACATATGTATACATGTGCCATGTTGGTTCGCCGCACCCATTAACGTGACATTTACATTAGGTATTTCTCCTAACTTGCATAAGATTTGACCTCTTTCATGGGTCAGTTAGAGCTTCAAAGGGCCTCTCTGACCATGGTTCCTTCTCCCTTAGCCTCCAGCCTCACTGACTCAATCCTCACTCAGTTGATAGAAATTTGAATCTCTGATCAAGATTTTCCCCACCTTACACGTGAGGCATTGGCATTACCGAATATATTGGCTTAATTCTGAGAGTATTTTGTTAGAATTTCAGCCTTTTGTAACATTCTTCTCTATCCCTTCTCTCTGTTCTCAGGGCATAACCTTCGGTGGCAGGACAAACCAGGCCAGCACGCAGTCTGCCAAGTCCCTGTCAAGAAAAGCAGCTAGATCCATTTCTAATCAACACTTCCCAACACAACGCTTCTGAGTCTCTAAAGGAGACCAGAGCTTGAAACTTTCCAGACTTCCAATAGATATCGAGTGCAAAAGGATATTTAGGTTGTCTTCGCACAAATCTGGTTGATTTGAGAGATAAAGGGGGGAGAAAACGAGTGTGACTTTCACCTAAGAAGTCACATGAACATATTTCACATTTGAACTACATAATGAATGATGGTTATTGAAATAGCCCAAACCTCTACCACAGAGCGAGGGATATAGCTCAAGTGGCAACCAAGCAGTTGCAGAACCAAGGAATGGATGACTACAAGTATCAGGACAACTATGGGGGCTATGCCCCCAGTGATGGCTATTACCGTGGCAATGAGTCCAACCCAGAAGAAGATGCACAGAGTGATGTCACCGAAGGTCATGATGAGGAAGACGAGATCTATGAGGGCGAGTACCAGGGTATCCCTCACCCAGATGATGTCAAGGCCAAGCAGGCCAAGATGGCGCCCTCCAGAATGGACAGCCTTCGGGGCCAGACAGACCTGATGGCTGAGAGGCTGGAAGATGAGGAGCAGTTGGCCCACCAGTACGAGACCATCATGGATGAGTGTGGCCATGGCCGCTTCCAGTGGATCCTCTTTTTCGTCTTAGGTTTGGCCCTGATGGCCGATGGAGTGGAAGTGTTCGTGGTGAGTTTTGCCCTGCCCAGTGCAGAGAAGGACATGTGTCTGTCCAGTTCCAAAAAAGGAATGCTAGGTAAGTGGAAATTTCCAAAGATCCCTCCAATGAAAGGGAAGGAGAAGTAAAATTTATGTAGTATCTGTCACTATTAGGCACTTTAAATATATCACAATGTACCCATTTTGCTGTAAAGGAATTTTTATCTTAGAGAAATCAATTGATTGGCTTAAGTTTGCACAGCTAATAAGTCTTGGAGCTTAGATTTCTATTGAGGTCTATCTGACTTCTGAGCTCTTAGTTTGCTTTCCAGATCTTGTTGCCTCCTTGAGAGTCAGATTTCTTTCTTCTTATTAAAGCTTCTTCGATGTCCAAATGACAAATACATTTTGGGAGTGGCAAATGTGGGAGTGGCAAATTAAACCTTCTTCCATGTCCAAATGACAAATACATTTGGGAAGAGACCTCTGGCTGGTGTCTTCCACTTGGTCCTTCTCTCTGTGTCTTTCCAGAATCTGATGGTGTCTGTTCCTGGTTTCTCATGTACATAAATGTTAGTAGGCTGAATGCCCACATACCCTGGGGATGAATGGTGGACTTGAGCACACCAGTGGAGTCCCTGCAGGCTGTTCGGAACCATGCTGTGAAGCACAGATGGATTCTGCAGGATAGAGGAACAGCTTTGCAAATCAATTAAGAGATCAGCATCATCAGAGCCAAGCATCAGCATCAGGCTGAGGCAGAGAGGATTTGTGAAATTAGAGAGAGGATATGCACAAATGGTGTGATGTAGAAAAGATTCATCATCATATGGACAAGCATTTGTCTTCAGTCACCAAATGTCCTGCAAAACATATCTAGCCTCTAAACTTAGAGTCCATGGAATTAATTGTGCAGCAAACATGCAGTTATTGAGAACTAACTATGAGTCAAGTTCTCATTCAAGACCAGGACATGCTTGTGACCCTAAAGAGCTCAAAATTGATCTAGCAATTCAGCTCCTTCATTCAACAAATATTTTTTATTGATTTACCTTATGCTAGACTCTGTGCTCAGGACCTGGGAAGAAAAAAGCTTTTGTCTCTCAGATAATTTGCATGTAGTTGAACAAACAGACATTAACAAACACAGAGAATTATTTAGTTACTGTAGGTACAGTCTCTATGAAATACCTGGTGCAATTCACATCCCCAATATTTGCTATAGGGCAAGAGCTAGGAAACAGTTCTGTAAAGACCCAGATAGTAGATATTGTAGACTTTGCAGACCCAGATGGTCTCTGTCACAACCACTCAACTCTGCCACGGTAGCACAATAGCAGCTTTGAACAACATGTAAACAAATGGGCGTGACTGTGTTCCAATTAGACTTTATTTACGAAAAAATGGTCAGTGGGCCAGATTTAGCCTGTGGGCTGCAGTTTGCAATCCCCTGAATTAGGCCACTGTAAATAAAACTGAGATATCAAATAAAGAACATCTGCATAAAGAATTGTTCCTGGGGGCTTTTTAAAATGGTTTTACACATTTGTGTTTAACTAAAGGGCCATTTAAAATGATTAGAACTATGTCAGATATAACCATGAGGGCACCAAAAGAGACAGAGTATATGCAAACAGAAGGAAGGGCTTGAGAAGCAAGGATATTACCTAGAGTTTTTAAACACTAATATAATTTTAGTGTAGTTCTTTTTCATATTAAAACATTCTGCTACCTGCTTTTAAGTATAAATAGTAGATTTTTTTTAAAGGACAAAACCAACCAACCAACCAACAAACAACCGATAAAAACCAAAAACCCCAAACAAAACAAAACCATCTCCAACTGATGTAAACATTTCCAAGACATTAATTTGTTTTGCAGTATTCCCAACTGAAACCCTGGGTCCCTGTGAGTCAAAATTGGCAATGTCGGTAATGATTTCATGCCCTGCTGGTCTCTCTGGCACCGTGGTGCCTAGCAGCCTCATTAACAGAGCTGCAGTATGGTTGCAGCCCTTGCTGGCTCTTAGGGCAAATGCTGGGAGTTGCGGGAACATGGTCTTAATCTGGGAAGTCCAGGTTTTTGTAATTTTGCTCTTAGTGTCTGCCCAGAAGATGCTGTGACTCAGCCCAAGAGGAGAAGGCAGACCCTCTGAGCATAGATGGACTTCCTGTGCACTCATGGGACCCTCTTTGTGGTCAAGAAAATGAATGTCTAAATGGATCCAGGGGGCTGGATGATTTGAGGATTTCATGAGGCCAGAATTTCCACACACGGTCACATGGAACCTTCAGAGTCACCATGTCAGCTAGATGATCTTTGTCCTTCAGTGTAAACATGCAGACCCAGATTCAGAGAGTTTTATCTAAGGTCACATAGCTCGTAAGTGTCAAGCAGGGGTTTGACCCCAGGTCTATTTGACTTAAAAGTCTGGGCCCATTCTGCCACATCACACTGCCCTTCTCTCATGCCTGGTTTGTGGGAGAGAGGTCATGCCATGCACAGGCCACTGTCTGTGTCATCAAGCACCTTATAGATTGCTTGGAACAGCAGACTGCTTCCAGCAGAAAGGGAGCATGGTGTGCTGATAATGATGTGGGCACTGGAGTCCGACCTCTAGGCAACTGGGTGTGTCCTATATGTCATCGATTTGCTAGTGACCTTGGGCAAGTGATGACTCCTCTAATTCTTGGTGTTTCCATCTGTAGAATAAGAGCAGTAATACAGTGCTGTGAGGACTAAATGAGATAATGTAGGTGTAAAGCAACCAGCACTTGGTGCCCCCTCAACAACGATTAGTTCTTGTTACTTTATATTCTGCCATTCTGCCTTCTGGCATTGCAATGAATTATACCTGCGGTGAGATGATGCAGCAGTGTGGCTCTGGAGCCACTTACTTGGGTTTGAGTCCTTGCTGTGCCATTTCTTAGTAGCGTGATTTTGGGAAAGTTGCCTGGCTTCTCTGTGCCTTGGTTTCCTTGTTCGCAAAATGGAGATAATAATTGTATCTACTTCATAGGATTTTTTTGGGGAATTAAATGAGGTTAATCCATTTAACATGGCTAAAACAGTACCTGGACCTAATCAGTGCTCAAGATATCTTAGTTAACATCGTTAATTGTGGTTGTTATTATTACTAAACTCATTGCTTGATAATGATTCAGGAACAGATTTTCTCAGGTGAGACTGCAAATTTCTTTCAGCCAATGTTTTTAATGATAGACTTCTAAGGTCAAGCTATCCTACCTCAGCTGGTAAAAAGGCTGTTTATGTTTGAGTGCTGCTAACTCAGATCTCTCTTTCCCCATCCTCTCTCTGTTTTAAAAAGAAACTCTCTGGTTGGGTGTGGTGGCTCATGCCTGTAATCCCAGTGCTTTGGGAGGCCGAGGTGGGAGGATCACTTGATCCCAGGAGTTTGAGATCAGCCTGGGAAACATGGTGAAACCCGTGTCTACGAAATACAAAAGAAATTAGCCAGATATGGTGGTGCATGCCTGTAGTTCCAGCTACTCGAGAGGCTGAGGTGGGAGGATTGCTTGCGCCCAAGAGGCGGAGGTTGCAGTGAGCTATTATTGTGCCACTGTGCTCCAGTCTGGGTGAGAGAGTGACAACTCGTCTCATTAAAAAAAAAAAAAAAAAAAAAAAAAAAAAAAAGAAAGTAAAGAAAAGAAAAAGAAACTCTGAAAGTGATGTCTTTACACTAGACTTCTACTTGATGACCCAGGAAAGGAATTCAGTAAGAGAAATCTCCATTCCCAAATTCAAGTGTCAAATCATAGGATATTTTGTTATTTTTTTCCTGGAAATTAATGAATCAGTTCGGAAAATAAATATCCCTTGGCCAGGTGACAAAAATATCTGGGTGCTGCTGTCCTATTTTTCTGAGTGTTTAGAAAGATGAAAGTTTACTTCTCTTGAGCATTATGTTTTGTTGGATCCTCATCTGGAGCTGTCTCACCTGGGGAAGAAAAAGGTCTGTGAGTATGTTGTTGACATTGAAGACTCAACCCTGCCTAGTGTCCAGCAGTTGGTCTCTTTCAACTCTCAATGAAGGAGAAGGCATTCATTTGTTAATTAAAGTCTTGATCCATTCTTTTAAAAAATGATTGAACATTACCACACGCCTGGTACTCCTCTGGTTTATAGCAATACAAGGAGACAAAGTCCTGGCACTCAATGAGTTTTATTCTAATGGCAGAAATGGAGGTCACACAGAGATGTTAAATACAAACACCACAATATAATCGTGCAATGCAATATTCAGTCTTATCACTTTTATTCAGATAGGAAGGAAACAAAGACAGTGTAAAGGGATAGAACTTGAGCTTGGGGGAGTGGTTCTAGAATTAGGAGATTTGTTTTTGCAATTGCCCTATTAATGATTGTGTGACCTTGGGCCAATCTGAAGTCTTTCTTCTGAGATTCCACAATTTTAGGTGGTTGATGAGTGAATCCATATGTATTTTAACCTTTTATGTGATAATTATGCATTTTCTGGGTATGTAAAAGAAAAATCACCCAAAGAAATGACTAAACTTAGGAAGCTCAAGGCTATGTGGCAGGGTAAGCCATTTGGTTCTTACAAATGACATCACTGGCAACGGATTATCATGTTTAGGAGTGTGGAGTTGATCCCACCAGCAATGGAGAGCTGTTTAATGGGGAGCTACGAAATATGCCTTTGAGGAAGGAGGTGATAGGATGGGGCCTGTGGTTTAGGATGATCACTCTACCCCAGTGATTTTGGTACTGAGAGTGCTTCTAGAGGAGCAGAATTTTGAGGATGAGTTTTCTGCATTGGCTCTGGAGTTTCTGGAATTGTCTTTCTAATCTGATTAGATTTAAAGATAATTCAGTTTTTGAATGTGAGAGCCTTGTCTCCCTGGAGTTACTTTTAAATGGCAAAAACCATAATTATTTTTGCACCAACATATAGGATGACAATATTGGCGATACATAAGACAAACCAACTCCATGCTTTTCTGCCTGCATTTAATAAATCGTCACCAATTTTTCATAATTGCAAATAAGCACCTCAACCTGGAATTGTGGGCTATTCCTTACCTTCATGCCTATGAATGTGAGCTTCCCTTTCAGGCAAGAGTTCTATGTTTTGCCTGCAGAGTTTTGATTTCTTGGAAGGATCCAGCGACTTGTGTATTTTATTGGCTGTTAGTTTCTTGCCATCTGCAGTGAAAAGACTCTGGGAGTTATACCTTTCAGAAAGTGATTTAGAACCTAACAGTTGACCCGTGGGGCATGGTGTCTGTGCCAGCCGCACGGAGGACACAGAGCAATGTCAGATGGGGCAGATTCATTAGAATAAATTGTGAGCTGAATTTTCATGGCAGCTTAGAGATAGATATATTACTCTGCTGTCATGAAGGATTATCCCGTGATTGTTTTACATGCAGTTCTAGCCGAGCATCAGGGCAGAATATTTGATTTATGAGCCATGTTTTGTTTAGGCCTAAATTCATTGTCAGTTCTTGAAAAGAGGAGCCACTCTGTGTCTCAGAAGGAGGTGGCGTGGAGGGGGGCGGGTCACTTGTCTGGCACAAAATATGTCCTCAGTAAATACCTACTTACTCATGATGGTGAAATCCACCACTGGGAATGTCCATGCATTTCTTTCTGTGTTGGATTTATATCAGTTTTCTTATTTATACTGTTTAGATCATGTAATTCTTCAGGATAGACTGATTACTTGATGCTTTTGTGGAAAAAAAAAAAAAGCTCAGAAGAAATAGAATAAACTTAAAATGAAGGGCTCCCTTAGCAGGCATACGCGATTGCCGTGTTTAGGAGTGTGGAGTTGATTCCACTGGCAATGGAGAACTGTTTAATGGGGAGCTATGAAATGTGCCTTTGAGGAAGGAGGTGATAGGATGGGGCCTGTGGTTTAGGATGATCACTCTGTCCCAGTGATTTTGGTACTGAGAGTGCTTCTAGAGGAGCAGAATTTTGAGGGTGAGTTTTCTGCATTGGCTCTGGAGTTTCTGGAATTGTCTTTCTAATCTGATTAGATTTAAAGATTTCAAAAATAAACATTTTTGAGCATGATATGTTGTTATAGCAGTAGGTCCTTTCGAATTTTTCACATTTAAAATTTAATTTCAACTTGTATTTTAGATTCCGTGGGTACATGTGCAGGTTTGTTATGTAGATATATTGTATGATGCTGAGGTTTGTGATATAAAGGATCCCATTGCCCAGGTAGTGAGCAAAGAACCTAACTGTTTTTCAGTCCTTTCTCCTCTCCAGTAGTCCCCAGTGCCTATTATTCCCATCTGTATGTCCACGAATACCCAACATTTAGTTCTCACTTATAAGTGAGAACATGCAGTATTTGGTTTTCTACTCCTGCATTAATTCACTTAGGATTATGGCCTCCAGTTGCATCCATGTTGCTGCAAGGAACATGATTTCGTTCTGTTTTATGGCTGTGTGGTATTCCATGGTGTATATGTATATACACCTTTTCTTTGTCCAATCTCCATGTTGACGGGCACTTATGTTGATTCCATGTTAAAGAACCTTTTGACTCTATTTCTAGGAGTAAAGAGAGCACTGATAGTCCATGTTGTGATGTGGCAATGAAGATACATAAAATATCACTAGATACATCTAATCAAATACTTATAATAGGCAAGAATCTGGGTGACCAAGTACATGATACCTTCCAACGTTTTTGTCAAACGAATGAGTATAATGACTTTGGCTGGTAGCACTAATGTTACAGGACAGAGTAGGGAAACAAATGGATGAGCCCAAGGATTCAAATTTCCAGCTCAAATGCTGCATAAAGGATATGAAAGCTTCTGTGTTTCCCTTGAAAGAGATCCTTATCTCCTGAGATTGCTGAAAACCAAACCCAGAATCTCATTCTGTGAGTGGCTGAATTACAGTGAAAATTGAATTCCCAGCCTTGCAGGGTGTCTTCTGTTAAAGTGAGAACATTGACTGGGAAGGAATGAGATCCTGAAAGTCAGCATGGGGATGTGCGGGAAGACTGAGGAAACTGGGAACACTGAGCCCCTAAATTCTGAGGAGTCTTTTTTGCCAATATAAGCAACCTCTCTGCCCCCATTCAGAGAAGATGAACTCTGCAGTGACTGAGGAGGCTGTAAGTGCCTCTCCTGAGGCAGTTGCCTTGCAAGACTTGCTGATTCTCGTCAGGACCCACCCATTTTCTTGTACAATTTATGCAAGGAAGAAAACCCTTCTTAACATCAAGAGATTTACATTTTTACACAGCAGGTTGGGTTTATTATAATACAGTCAGTGACTTCGTAGTCAGAGGGTTGACTATTACAAAGCTTATGAGGAAATTCACTTTTCTGTAACTAACACACAATGACTAGAAATAAATTTTTCTACAATCAACCAACCAACCACCTAACCAGCCAACTGAAAAGCAAGCTCTGTACTCTCAAGATTAAGAGCAATTTCACAATTAAACCACTGGAGTTAAAAAAAGAATCTCTCGAAGAGAACATCTTGCACACAAAGCACTCATTTTATCATGTGAGATACAGATTCAGTGTGGATTTAGCTTTGAAGGTGACGCTTTCCCCACTTGTCTGCTGCTATTTTTTTTATGCCTTTCAGCTTATTCCAACATCAAAGGAGAGAGCCTACTACCCATTACGAAAGCACCTGTGTCAACAACTTTAAATTATTAACTCCTTGTTAAAACTTACGGTTTCTGAGTTATTACTTGGATTTTGATCAAGATTGAATCAAAGATATGTGGAGCTTGTGTAGATTTTAGTTTTATTGGGACTAAAGAGCAATGTCTGGAAAGAGAGGGAGAAGCAGAGAAAGAGAGGGGGAGAGAGAGACAGAAAGAGAGAGAAAAGACAGGGCAGTAGAGGATGGTTCTTAGCTCCCAAGGATGCTGGGAAAATTAAATGAAATTATCCCTGCTCTCTGCTTTAACTACTCTTCTCAGGATCTGAACACAGTAGATTCTTAGTCAGTACTCATCTTGCTCCCCGATCCAATGGCAAAACCTGATGTTTTAACTTCTCAGTTGTTTCAATATTGATTAGAGCAAGGATGTCTCAGGACATTCCGTTCACTTTGCCTGCAGAATATCTCCCTTGGCAATGTCACCTTCAAAGACTTTAATGAGTTGATTTTCCTCCATAGTTAAGTGCACCCTTCTGGAAGACCTGGTAAATGAAAGATGTTTAGTAACTACCAATTTGCTAATTATCAGAATTAAAATATGTTATTTATTTATTTATATTGATTCACTTATATTTATACTTATATTTGCTCCCACAATGGAAAACTTCACCAAGAATAAAAGAGACTCATAAGATTCTTGACCCACATGTTGGAAAATATGATCTTCCAGACCACAGAAAGCACAACAGAAATGAATGGGAGGAATTCTTAAGTAAACTGGCATATTTACTGAGAATGGAGGTGGAAGTTGCAGAGATGGTTGTGGGCTGGAAACATATAAAGCTCATTCCCTGTACAAGTATATATAAGCTTTTGACCTTGACCTTGGTGGCCCAATGAAGAGGGTTTAGAGATGGATCTTTTATAGAATCATGAGAGAGTTTATTCTGGTTATCTATTATTGGATATCAAACAAGCAAACACACATATATTCCCCATAGAACCAAAACCACCATGCCATTTACTTTGCTTATAAATCTGCAGTCTGGGCAGACACCTGGCCCCTGTCCAACTTGACATTGCCTGGGGCAGCTGGAAGGTGGGGGCTAGAATCATCGGAGGGCTCACACACACAAATATCTGGTACCCAGACTGGAAGACACAGATGGCTGGGGCTTCTTTTGAACATCTCTCTCCATCTCCATATGATCTCTAAATGTGATCTTTCTAACATGGCAGCTCCAGGGTAGCTGGATTGTTTTTTAACCTGTTGGCTTAGGGTTTCCAAAGGGGCAGATCTTGGAAAGAGATCTTGAGAGAGAAAGACAAGCAGAAGCCTTTCGTGACTTTGCCTCAGAAGTCAAGCATGTTATTTCCTTGAATTCTATTTGTTGAGATAGTAATAAAGACCAATTCAATTTCAAGAAGAGAAGAAATAGACTCCATCTTCTAATGGAGGAAATGACAAGGTTCTGGAGAGCATGTGAGACCAGAAATTTTGCTGAGCTATTTTTGTGCACTATGGTCAGTTACTGACTTTCTTTAGAATGAGTCCTCTGTGTGGCCCCTCTCAGTCATGCTCTATTGACATGTTGGGCCGGTCAATTCCATGTTCTGAGGGGCTATCCTTTGCGTTGTAGGATGCTTAGCAGCATCCCTGGCCTCTACTCACTAGATGCCTGTAGCACCCTGTTCCTAGCTGTGACAACCGAAAATGTCTCCAGATATTACTAAATGTCCCCTGGGGGGCAAAATCACTTCCAGTTGACAACCACTGCACTAGATTAATGTCCTTAATCCTGACTGCCCAATAGAGTCACCTGAGGAGCTGCTGACAAAAACTACAGACTTTGCTCTAGAATAATTAAGCCAGAATGTCTATGGATGAGTCATGGGCATATGCATTTTTTAATAGCTCCCTAGTGATACTATTGTGCAGCCAGAGTAGAGAACCAGGTAGTTTATGCAAAGGCTGTGTATGAGTAGGAGCTGCTGAGATGTCAGGGTTTTTGCTTATCATACTATATAAAAAGTAGGAACTATCCCCGCGTGGCTTCCTTCATGTATTTGTGATGATGTTTGGAATATTTGCACATATCTTGGGTAGCATGGAAAAATGGAACTGCGTTAAAAAATCTTGTACAGTGCTTTATAGATTTTCAGTGGTTTTCCTAATCACTCCTATTTGATCTTTAAATGACTCTGTGAGATGAGCAGAGTGATAGTCTGTATTTATGCAATGAGGGCAGTGTTGCTCAGAGACCTTAAAGGATGAGTGCTGGACTCCAGTTCCTAATGTGATTTTCCTATCCCGTGTTGCCACTCATTGTCACTATGGCTTCCTTTATATTAATGAAGTTGAAAGGCTTATTTTCTCCCATACAGACTTCTTCATAGAAAGCAAAATAAATTGATATGAATAAATCAATTATTTCACACTGTCTTGTATACCGTGTTACTTTTTTACTAATTTAAAAGCAAATTATAATAATTATACCACTACCACCACTACCAAGAGCTACAATTTGATAAGCTCTTTCTTTGCATCCATTTTGTACTAGGTATCTTATCTTATACCATTTCTAACCTTTATAATGACCTGCAAGGCAAACATCATTTTCACTGTTTAACAGATGAGAAAACCTAGACTCTAAGAGGGTAAAGTAACTTGTAGAAACTAGTCAGTGACAGATCTAGGATTTGAAAAGTCCAGTTATATCTGACTTCAAAGTCTGTTGCTTCTCCTTTACCTTGCTGTCCCATCCCTGGAAGACGTTTCCAGGTATGCATTACACATAAAACCTTAAACAACTTTTATGCAAAATGCATGACTTCAATAAGATGCAAGTGTGAAGTAGGCATTGGCCTCTCTCAGGGTGCTGGAGTCAGTACCAGCCCATCTCCGTAGGTGAGAGAGGGATGTTGTTTGTGTCCTAGCTAGCGGGTGTAAAAGGCTGGGTGCTGATTTCACTGGAAGGGGAAACTGCAGGGGTCTGCAGTGATCCCTGAGGCTAGACTGTCAGCCTAGAATAGGCTGCCAGAGAGCTGAGTGGTGACATTGCCATCCTTTGTGTCAGGGGCCCAAGAGATGATCCGTCACTGAGTATGGAGCAGAGCAACAGAGCACAAAGAATTTCCCGCATCCTTTCCACCAGCAACGCTATCAGACAGAGAACACTAGGGTCCTTGGTGGAGCTAATGACTGCCGGCTAAAATGACTCTTTGAGGCCGGTGGGTGTAAACTTCCTCTTTATTTTGTAAATCTTAACCAGCACTAGCTCAGATGAACTGATTTCACTTTGCAAAGGATTTATTTTAATTTCAGAGAAGAAAGCTGGAAAGTCACAAATATTAGCAGGGATGGAAGAAAGGGGGTGTGATAGAAGGTCCTGGAAATGTAATAGCCTTTGACATGCCCCATGGGGTCCACTGAACAGGCTGGATGTGAACATCCTCTTCTCCGTGTGGGCTGGCCTGGGCTGCCTGAATGTGCGGAGTGTACGCTTTCTATTTCACCACTGGAGATTTTGCTGACTCAGAGGCATTCATCAATCTCTGCTGGGGATGTGCAGAAAATAGTCCAAAGAAGTTTTGTCCTTGCCTTGTTCTCTCTGCCTCACCTCTCTGTGGGTCCTAGAAAGGGAAGTCTTGTCCTGGAAAGGAGACATGATAACAGATGATAAGGTATAAGGCATGAATTACAAAATTATAGTACCATTTAATATTAGAAGCGAAAGAAAGGAAGGAGACCTCCTAGCATGCCCTTCGTTTCTGAGTTGAAGAAACTGAGCCCCAAGGAGACAGTGACTTGGTCAAGGTCACGTACTCTCAGATCAGAATCTGGGACTCCTGACTATTGGCACAGAATTCTTTCCCCTCTGCCAAGTTGTCTTGCTGTTTGCTCGTAAGTGATGATTATTTAAACCAATCAGATCATCTTTCATTAGTATGGTTTCTTTTTTAGGAGGCAGCATGTATATAGGGTGCATTTGGCTTCTGGTAACAATAGCTTTGAATCATGAAGATACTCATTATTTATTGACCAAGAATTTTCAAAATAGGTGGTACCAGAGTTGGTTCGATGACTCACTGATGTCAGGGCAGGAGGTTGGCATGTCTGCGATTCTCTTTATGTTCCCTTGAGGTCACAAGATGGCCACCATAGCTCTAAGCTCTATGTCCCCCAATAATGACTTTCCAATCATCTGGCAGGTGTCCACCAAGTCTTATGGCTTGCCTAGATTAATCACTGGCAAGAAGAAGTGGATGAAGATGACCATCTTAAATTAACTATGATTGATCCCCTAGAGTTGAGTGTGTCTTGGGAGGCAATCTCTCTGAACACATTTAATACATGAACAAAAGTCAGGGTTCCCTTAGCAAGGAAGAAGAGGGAAAAAGGCTGTTGGGAACATGACCAGCAGAGTGTATCACAGGCATAAGGTTTTTAAAGGTAGGCTGTTTGACTTCATATCTTGGCTACATCACTAACCCTATCATCTTACACAAGTCACTTAACCTCCCTAACCTTGGTTTCTTAATCTGAGATTAAAATATATTAGTACCTGCCTTCAGAAGCATTGTGAGGATTAAATAAGATAAAGCACATAAAGGACTCATCACAGTCCTGGCACACAGTTAGGATCCAGTAAATATGAGCTTGTATTTGTATATTTTTAATTTTTCACTTTATTCAATAGCTCCTTAAAGAGTCAACTTACTCACGGGCTTGTTTACTGATGAACAAGAGGTGTAAGTCCCTCCTGTCCCGTCATGGAACCAACATTTTAGTAAAGAAAAAGCCAAAAAAAACCCAAAACAACAAAAAACTAGATGGCTCTCTCTGACTTCCATTTTTCCACTGCCAGGAGTAAGAAGATTCTAGAATTCAATGTATTCTTGGTAGGCTTCCCAGCATTTTTTCTCCCCAGTACTACCAGCCTTGCCACCAAGATCAGGACTAATTTCATTATGCTCTTTATCCCCGTATGTCAATCACCATGAGAGGTTCATGTCTGCCAGGACACCCCTTACCACCCACATTTGCATTCCCCTATGGCACTGTACATGCCTCCATTCCCCTATGTTTCCCCCTTTTCCTCTGAGGATGTTAATTAGTCCTGCAGCCTTAGATGCAAAAATTAGCTCTTTGCCCCATTACAGCCTCCACTCTTGTACCATTGCTCTTTCTTGCTCCCCCTGGACATTTCCAGGCCATTCTCCCTCTCTCCTCACTAAAAGATCTCATATTCGAATCTCTTGTCATCAGAGACTATCACTTACCACACATTCCGGTTGCAGTCATCCACTGACCCCTGGGCCATGTGTTCTCATTCCTGGAGAATTTTAGTTCCAGGTTTATCACTGTCATATTCCAACCGTATTTCTGTTACTGTCCTTGGAGATTTTAATAAGTGATTTCCATTATCCTGGTCTGTCATTTCCTTAAAGTCCTCTCCAATCTTTAGCCTTTTAATCTCTTATTACCCCCTTGTTCTTACCACATTCCTCACTGAGCTTAATGTCCATGTCCATAATCACAGTCACTTCCCGTGCACGTCACCAGCTTCATTGCACCTCTCTTACTCTGCTGTGTTCCCCACCCCTGGTTGCATCCAACTTTTCTTCCGTCTGTCCCTAAACCCCGTTGCTGCATATGGGTGGTCAGGAACACAGAACATACAATGTTGCCCACTGGCCTCACTAAATTCATGAGCCAGAGCCTCCAGAGGATCCTCTGTGCTGCCAGCCATCATCCTTCATTTCCCTCATCCCTTCACTCTTTCCTTGATAGTTATTTTGTGTCTTATCTACTATTTTCCAATTTCCAGCATCTCTTCCTCATCTTCACTCTCAGATTAATAAACTCAGTTCCTCCTGAACTTAGAACAACAGAAGCAACCAGAGAAGAACTTCCACAGCTCCTGCTATCACACTTACCTTCCTCGCTGCGTCTGTGCTGACCCCGTATTCTTGTAACTGTGGAGGAGCTGTAAGGCTCACTGGTCTCCCTGTATCCCATCCCCTCTCACCTCCCCAGAACATCACTTTTGCAATCTTGTCCTCATCATTTTGCAACTTCTCTTCATCAATATTTTTCTCTCTATGGAATCATTCCCACCAGCACACCACACATTTCTTCAGTCTTGATCCCACATATGTCTTTTCTATTCCCTTTCTGGTAAAATTCACTGAACCCAGTTCCTCACTTCCCCTTCTCACTTGAACCCTCTTTCAGTAGGATGAATGAGTGAGGATGTTGCATCTTTAAGCAGGAGTTAATCCTCCCCTCTTCAGAAACCTGTTCTTGTCTAGATCACTCCTGGCCTCACTTGCTCAGTTCAGCAGTCAGCTCTCATCCTCAGCTTATTCACCTATTCACAGCAACTGCAACTGTTGACCACTGTCTCCTTCTTGATGCACTTTCTTTATTGGACATCTAAGCTACCTCTGTCTCATCGTTTTCCAGCTGCCCATTGGCTGCTCCTTCTTGTTCTCCATCACTGGTCTCTCTTCATCTTCCTGGCCTTTAAATGTTGGAATGTCTCAGTGCTCAGTCCTTGAATTTCTTGTGTATTGCCACTCACTTCTTCAGGGATCATGTTCATTGTCTGCTTTCATTACCACCCTTCCTCTAGACACTACCTTTAAAATGCACCCAGAATCCAGCCACTTCTTACCACTTTCCTCTACCTACCCACCTGGTCCAAGTCATCAGTGTCATTCACTTGAAACACACGTGGTGGCCTGCTAACTGGTCTTTACGATTCCACCTGTTGGAGGAAGAGGCTGTTGAGGATGGATGGTCAGTGAAGGCCTCTTTAAGATTTTGCCTGAAATATGAGAAGGAGCCAGCCATGCAAAGATGTGAACAAAGAACATTCTAGATAGAGGAAAGAGCAGTGTGAAGACTCTGAAGTGGGAGAGAGCATAGGACATCAGTATCCAGGGGTTGCTCAATACTTGATAAAAGGGTCAATAGCAGATTAACAGTAACTGTCATAGGATTAAGAGATTTGACCCCGGAGTTGCCTATTTTTTTTTTTAATGTGAATACTCATTTTCTAAACATACTATTCAAGCCTGCACAAATCTCTGTCACACAGGGTTCTCAAATAGTAGGTGAGACTACTGTTTGGCTAGTAGTGTTTTAAAACTCAGAGATTTTATTTAGCAATCTAGATTTCTGGTTCTTTTTGAAACCGTAGGAATAGGGTCTATCTTCTGTAACGTAGCAGTTGGCTGAAGTTAGGTGGTGGCTGCTCCCTTTAGATGGACATGTATTCCTCAGTCACCACACTCCCTATTAGGGATGCCTGGAAGTATCACCCATTTGTATAACCTGCCTGGGCCCTGTTGGCTTCTGCTTTTGCCCTCTTGTGAGACCCCTGGACTACTCCTATATCTCATCAGACACAATATTCCACTCTCTAGAAATGACCACAACTTGGTCTTAAGTGAAATGGCAGAGGCATCACTGAGCCTCATTGGGTTATGATCCTATTTGATATGCCCACAGTGCCCAGGAGAGCTATCAGAGGTGTCATACCTCCACTGGCCCAGATGGCACCTCCTCTCACCCGTCTTACCTGGAGTCATTCTGGATAGGAGGTACCAAAAGGGAAGTGGCTTTTGTGAAACATCTCTAGTGTAGTGGTATGCAAACAAGGCAATTTCAGTGTTCTTGCAGTATCCTCAGGGAATCTTTCTTAATGTCTCTTCTTTTTGGCTTGAGAGAAGATTAAGGAAAGTGACAGATACTCCTTTGCCCCAAGGCTAGGGTAAGCCCCAGCCAGAAACCTCCCTGATGTCTTAAATCCTTTCTGTTGCAGCTGCTTCCACTGTGGCTGTGGATATGTCTCTACTCACCAAAGACACAGCCAGGACCCTGAGGTCTGGGTCTCCTCATTGCTCACTGCTTGGCCCAGAATGCTGTCTCATGGTTTCATCTTGGCTGTTCATCTCCTGTGATGATAAGGTCTCTAGGCTGCCAGGCAAAGTCTTCAGTTTCTCCCGTATATAGTTGAAGAGAGAACCTCTTCCTGATTTAAGGCTCTGTCCTTACACAATGTTGCTGAAGCAAGGGGCTTCCGTCTCTCAGACTCTCCGATCTGCCTATAGACCCTCACCTCTGGGCCTATTAGACACATTCAGAATCTAGAACTTCCAGGAGGGGTGGTTTTACTCTTCTGCTGTGCTGTGGCTTGCCCTGAGCTGAGGGGCCAGGGCGAGTGAGAATGTTGCATCGTCAGGCAGAGTGACAAATGCCTCACCCGCCCTGCTGTCCTTGAAGAGCATTGGTGTGTCTTCCCTCATGGGCTATGTCATCGTTTGGGGCATTGGTGACTCACTCAACTATAATCCTAGGTTCTTTCATCAGATATTGGGAAAGTTTACTTACACTTTAATAATTGTGGTCAGAGAGGAAATCTCTTAACCTCAGTTTCTTCATCTGTTAAATGAAGCCATTAGTACCTCCCTCACAAGGTTGGAATGACAAATTGAAATTATTAGACATGTGACCTATCATACTATCTTACATATGGCAGGAGATCAACAAATTGCTCATTTTTTTGTCCTTTCATTTCTCCTCTACACATTTGTATCCGAATATCTTATGTGACATTTAGGAAACAGTTCCAACTACCAAGAGAATGGACAAGTTAACCCACTTCTGAAGATTCATTCACTTGAGTTTACTGGACCCATAAAAGACTAGAAAAGTCTAACATGGTGATTCTAGATTAGTTTCCACTAGATGACGTGTTCAAGCCAAACCTTTTTGACCCAAAATAAAGTGTTTGCTCATCCAGAAGTTTCCAAGCATCCAGATGCCACATAAACAAAGCACCTGACTGACTTACCCAATGCGTCTTATTTCATAGGGTGTGCAAATGGATACCCTGATGTTCCTCCATGATTTAATACCAAAGTGAGAGTTCTTTGTGGGATTCCCATATACGTTAAAACATTTATCACATTTACCACTTTGAAGGACTGTGAACCCCACACGCTAGTCCAAGAGAATATTACCCTCCAAGGGGGGTATATTTGGTTGAGTAATAAATAAATGGAATGGAAATGACAGGAATTACTTTTTAGAGATGTTATCATAGATGGAATGGAGATGGTTTAGTTGGAAGATGCTGATTTTTATCCCTGGGAAGCATATGCATACAGTCAAATAAATATTTGAGTTGGTACAGGAAAAAGAAGCTCATAATCCTCTCAGGATAATGAAAGCATTTAATTTCTACATATTCAAGCAAGAAAAAGGCTAGAAGTGTCTTCTTTGTCTTTGGTTAATTGCTAAATAAAGAAGCTCACCCACGCAGGGCTTCTGCTTTCATGTCACCATGGTAAGCCAGTGCGGTCTGATAGTACATCTTATCCTGCTGCCTCTGGTGTGGAGAGAAAATACTCTGTCGGTGTGAAAAGCATCTCTAAAGCTGGAAAGAGGTTTCTGATATCTGCCAGCTCTCTGGAAGGATATTTGGCATTGTGTCTCAAGAGCCACAAACTTGTTGATCTCCTTCGATCTCATGATTCAATTTCTTGGAATCCATTCTGAACAAATAACTAGAAACACCAACAAAGACATATGCAAAAAATATTCTTTGCTGAGTTGTTTATTAAGTGAAAAGCTAGACTATGAAGCTTTCAATAGAAAAAGGTTTCTATCATGTAAATACAGTATGTAGTTATACACATACGAATACAAATACAAAAATGAAGGCTGCTAACAGCTGCCTCTGAGTGGTGGTATGATGAATAGATTTTTGCTTTACCTTTTATACGTTTTGGGGGATATTCTTCAGATTTTCTTACAGTGAATAGGAATTACTTTTATATTATTTTATGTGTTGGACAAATATTAATGGAATACCTACTACGTGTACACCTCTGTGCTAGAGAAACAGTGGCGAACTCTGCTCAAGCAAAATCAGCATGGTCCCTTCCTCCAGGAGTTTACAGTCACAGGAGTTTGGCAAATATCAAACAAATAAATATACAATATCAACTAGAGACATGCGATACAAAGGAAAAGCAATGGTACACTGCCAAAAGACTATGAGGGGCAACTGAAATTTGGAACAGGAACCAACAAACTATGGCCTACAAACCTGTGACCTATTTTTTTTTTAATTTTTTTTTGCATTCGTAAAGGGTTGTAAACTTAGGAATAATAATATGATGTGACAGAGACCATAGAAGATTGGCAAAGCACATTTTACAAGTAAAATATCTATGCTCTATCCCTTTATAGAAAAAGTTAGTGGAGCCTTAGTTTGGAACATCAGGGATGCCTTTCTAAGGAGATAAAATTTAACGTGGGAACTGAAGAAATCTGAGTTAGCAAAAAAAAAAAAAAAAAAAAAAATCCCCCCCCTCAAAGTCTTGTTAGAGGAAACTTCAAAAATATTTTTCAAAAAAGCTTTTTATTGGAACCTGGCTCCTTCTCCAGGTAAGGCGAGAGGGAGGTACATTTAAAGGGCATACTACTAAAAATAAGTTTCCTCTGCTATTCTGTATCCTCTTTCCTCATATTCCTTTCGTATGTGATTGACTTGTTTTTAAAATACCACCATCTTATTTTTATTTTTCTAATCCTGTGGCTTTCCAGGGTCCTAATTTTAAGTTGTACTGCTAATAATATCAATAGCAGCTTTTATTAATTGTGCATTTACTTTGGTGCCAGGCATTTTGCTAGATACTTTAAATCCACTCCCCTTTATAATCCTAACAACTGCGAAGATGAGCACTGAATTTTACAAAGATGTGATAATGGTCAGAGAGGCTGAATGGGCAGCCCACAGTCATGTTGTGGTAATGATGGAGCCAGGACCACGGCCCAGATGTCTCAGTCTCAGAATTGGGATCTTTCTTGCCTGGTGCCTGTCACTGCAGGCTCCTCCCTCTTCCAAGGAGGGGTATTCTATTTCCTTTGTTGTGTTACCACCAACTAAAAGTCTCTTCCACTCCGCCACATCCCACCTCCTTTCAATCTCCTCCTCCTCCTCCTCCTCCTCCTCCTCTTCCTCCTCTTCCTCCTCTTCCTCCTCCTCCTCCTCCTCTACTCTGCAAGTAGCAATCCTGGTTTTCAATTTCCTCAAAAATCTCAGTATATTAGGGTCATTTCCCTAATATGCCACTGAGCTTGTTGAGTGAAATTGAAGGATGATTGAATTTCTAGCTTTCTAACTAGTTCCTTATCTGCTTCACACTAAAGTAATTTTTGATAACTCCACTGCACTCTAATTTTCCAAATGTATTTTTAAAATTTCTTTTGCTAAAGACAGATTTTAAATGAATCTAATAACATAACCATTCCAGAGACATTGTTAATTTGGTATTTCCCTTCCCTGGTGATAGGCTCATTTTTCCTTCATTCTTCCTTTTCCTAGACTTCAAAGACAGCATTTGAAAAGCTCTTCTTATTCTCTCTGGTACCTCCACGGCCTTGGACAGTGAGGTTTAGTAGTGAAAGCACCAGGCCTGGAACCAGGAGACCAGAAATGCAGTGCCAGCAAGTCTTCGGCCAGCATTGAGGTTCTGGGCAAGTTATTGACCCTTTCTGGGGCTCAGCCTCCTCGTCTGGTAAAACTAAGGGGTTGAATTCAACATCTGACTTCTAAAGTTTTTCAATTTGTCTAGGTGTCTAGATCAGTCATAGGATAGTCAGGAGACAGAAATCATACCAGTTATTTGAAAAGAGAGATTTTAATGTAAAAATTATTAACAGGGTGGGCTGAAATGCTTTTGAAAAGTATCACTGAGGTAGTACATGCAGGGAGAAGCATGTACTACCTAGGGTTTGGAGAATAAAGGAAAGAGATTGGAATGATTATAACTTAGAATCTTGAAAAGGGGTTCCATGAAGCTGCAACTCAGCTCTCTGAAGACAGGCCCTGGCTGGCAGTTGCTGGTGTTGGAGAGGAGAATGAAGTGCAGTGTGGCTTCTGCTAATTGGATGCAGCTGCTGTCTGGAAAGGAATTGCGGCAGTCAGGGTGAAACTACAGGAACAGAAAGGACAAGTCCTTTCTTCCTTCCCCAGCCTTGAAGCCTCCCTCTAGCGCCCTCTGTTGGCAGAGCCTAGCAGAGAGTGGCTGGGATTTGTGGACCAAGTAAGGTCTAGAAGGGTGGCTTTGGAGCTGAGAGACAATAACTTCATAGCTGCACAGTGTTCATTGCTAAGATTGCAAACTGGTAGGCTAGAGGCCACTTTTTTGTTAATGAGATCTTTATTATTGTTATTTGATTCTTTTTAAATTGATTTATCATAGTTGTACATATTTTGGAGCACCTGTGATATTTTGATCCATGTGTACAATGTCATAAAGATGCCTTGTATGGCCTTAAGTAGTATAATCAAACATTTGTGTCTGAGTTTATGTTTTTAATCTGAATGTCTTCTTCCTGGGAAATCCACAGTACTTCATCTTTCATTATTTACATTTAAAAAAATTAATGTAAAATTAATGAATGGGAAGGCAACTTGGAGATCATCTCTAGTTCAGTAATCAGTTTATAAATGAGGTGATTAATACCCTCAGAAAGTGAGAGGTTTTGGTCCCGAATTGTACAACTAGTGAATGAGATCTTTGGGTTCTAAGGCCTGGATTCTCATCACTATTTACTGTTTACAGGAGGACAGATGTGCTCTAGCCTCTTGCTACTCAAAATGTGGTTCCCAGACCAGCAGCACTGGCCTCAGCTGGCAGCTTGTTAGAGTTGCAGAATCTCAGGGCGCGTTCTCGGGCCTGCTGTATCAGAATATGATTTTGACAAGATCCCTGGGTGATTTATGTGCACGGTAAAGTTTGAGAAGTGCTGAAGATAGCTTTATTGAAGTAAAAGAAAAAATAGACTTTTATTGGATGCTAGTGCTTTTCTCTAGGGTGGAATCAGGGTATGGGCTATAGAGACTAGCTCTCAGCAAATCTCTGGACCACTCCTCTAAGTCTCTTTTCGCTCTCCCTGCTTTCAATTTATGGGCCCATACACATACATGCAAACACCCATGTGCACACACACAATCGCACATGCATGCATCCATACATCTACATTTACACACACACACACACACACACACGTTTATGATCTGGCTTCTGTCCTACACTCTAGCCTGAACTCTCGTCAGGTTCCCTTACATGAACTATGCTGTACTCATGCTAGGCCACTTACAAGAAGTTGCCCAAACATATCAGACTTTCGTTTTGCCTCAGTCACCAAATGGAAATCAGACTAAATTCTGTTTGTCTTTCAAGAACAGCTCAATGTCTTTCTCTTGGAAGCCTTCCCACACTGAGTGAATTATATCCAAGGTTTGCTCTTCTTCTGGGTTTTAATAATACCTGACAGATATCTTTATTGAGCATCTTTTTTCTCACTCAGAGATAATCTTACATTTTATTGTTTATCTCCTTGAAAGGATGGAACCATTCCTCACTTGGCAAGCAATACTGGGGGTGAGCAGATGAAGAAAGAATGAACTAACGTAGAGCGAAGGAATCTAACCAACGCTATCTATAAAGAGCAGCAAAGTGTAATAGTTAAAGCAACGAGCTGGTTTTTTGAAAAGATAAGCAAAACTGACAAACTTTTAGCTAGACTAAGGAAAAAGAAGGCTCAAATAAAATTAGAAATGAAAGAGAAGACATTACAACTGATACCACAGAAATATGAAGGATCACAGATACTATTAGGAAAAGTTACACACAACAAGTTGTGTAATCTGGAAGAAACGCATACATACCTAGAAACATGCAATCCACCAAGACTCAATTGTGAAGAAATAGAAAATCTTAACAAACCAGTAATGACTAAAGAGATTGAATTAGTAACCAAAAACCTCTCAACAAAGAAAAGCCTAGGACCTGCTGGCTTTACTGTTGAATTCTACCAAACAATTAAAGAATAATTAATGCCAACCTTTCTCAAACTCTTCCAGAACATTGAAGGGGAAGGAATATTACAAACTCATTTTACAAGTCCAGCATTACTCTGATACCAAAGCCAGAGAAGAACACTACAAGGAAAGAAAATTACAGGTCAATATTCCTGATGGACACAGATGCAATAATCTTCTACAAAATACTAGCAAATTAAATTCAGCAGCACATTAAAAGGATCATACACCACGATCAAGTGAGATTTGTGCCTGGCATGAACAGATGTTTAAACATATGCAAATCAATAAAAGTGATATGCCATATTAACATAATAATGGATAAAAATCATATGATCATCTTAATAGATGCAGAAAAAGCATTTGACAAAAATTCAGCATCTTTTCATGATAAAAATTCTCAACAAATTAGGTATAGAAGGCCATGTATGACAAGCTCACAACTGACAATCATAATCAATAATGAAAAGCTGAAAGCTTTACCCCTAATATCAGCAACAAGACAAGAATGCTCACTCTTGCCACTTCTATTCAACACAGAGCAATTAGACAAGAAAAAGAAATAAAAGGCATCCAAATCAGAAATGAAGAAGTAAAATGGTTTCTGCAGATGGCATCTCATACATAGAAAACCCTAAAGATGCCAGCAAAAAATTATTAGAACTAATAAACAAATTCAGTAAAGTTGCAAAATAAGAAACCAACATAAAAAATAGTAGTGTTTCTATATACTAACAATGAAGTATCTGAAAACAAAACCAAAGAAACAATCTTATTTACAATAACATTAAAAAGTACTTAGGAATGAATTTAACCAAAGAAATGAAAGGTCTTTATACTGAAAACTGTAAGACATTGATGAAGAAATAGAAGAAGACACAAATAGATGGAAAGATATCCCATGTTTATGAATAGAAAGAATTAATATTGTTAAAGTATCTATACTGCCCAAAGTAATCTACAGATTCAGTGCAGTCCCTATCAAATTTCCAATGGCATTTTTCATAGAAATAGAAAAAAAAATCCTAAAATTCATATAGAACCACAAAAGATTTGGATAGGGAAAGCAGTCTTGAGCTAAAGGAGCAAAGTTGATGGCATCACACTACTTGCTTTCAAATGTACTACAAAATTATAGTAATTTTTAAAAAATGGTACTGGCATAAACACAGACATATAGACCAATGGAACAGCATAGAGAACTTAGAAATAAATTCACACATTTATGGTCAATTGATTTACAACAAAAGTGACAAGAACACACAATAGGGGAAAAACAGTCTCTTCAATAAGTTGCATTGGGAAAACTGGATTTTACATGCAGAAGAGTGAAACTGGACCCTTATCTCACACCATATACAAATATGCTACATTTCCTTAAGCCTAGACATTGGTTGTAGCTTGAAGAAAGGTCCTTCTTGGGTGGTAATAACATAGCTGGCCTTGCTTTCAATTGCTGTTTTTCACTTCTACCATGTTCTTCCTTCCTAACATTTCCCATATCCACTTTGCCACAGTTTACCCTGGAAATTCTCTCCTTAAACATAATCTACCAGTTGAGGGCTTTTGCAGCACAAACATTTTCCTTGCTTAAAAAATTACAGCATTTCCCTTGTCTGCAGATGATGCACCTAAATGGGTGGTCTTACAGCTATCTCAGTTTTGGTTGATCTGCGTTAGTCTGTGTACATGTGTATAAACCTGGTAAGGCCATTTTTAAGATAACATTTGTAAAAAGTCGTATTTGTATAGTACTTCCAATTTGCCACAAATATCACATTCTACCATTTTATGTCTATGACACAGAAATTCTAGGATAAGTAAAAATGAACACTGTATTGTATAAACATTATATAGAATCTAATCTTTTGTCTTTTCTCTCTATTCTCGCCCCTCCTTCCCCTCATTGCAGGGATGATAGTCTACTTGGGAATGATGGCGGGGGCCTTCATCCTGGGAGGCCTGGCTGATAAGCTGGGAAGGAAGCGAGTCCTCAGCATGTCTCTGGCCGTCAATGCCTCCTTCGCCTCCCTCTCTTCTTTCGTGCAGGGATATGGAGCCTTCCTCTTCTGCCGACTCATCTCAGGCATAGGGTATGTTCTTAGGGAGCTGGAGCTGGACCTCCCAGACCAATGGCCCATCCACTCTGGTACTCTAGCTCTGAGAGATAACTCCAGAAACCCTTGGACTGATTGAGTTTGTGTTTGACTTTCAGGATACTATATTAAAGTTGAACCTTAGAAAGAGTTAGGGTTAGGATTAGCCTCTGAAGTCAGCATGCAGTGACAAAATAATCCAAGACTGCTTCCCACATGTAGAGAGGAACTACCTGGCTGGTCCCTCAAATTAACTGGGTCATTTCACCACAGAGTCTAAGGTGGGGTATAGGCAACTTGGTTTCTGCTGTGACCATTTTTAGTGTATGACTTGATTCTTTCTCTCTGGACTTTTCCCTCTGCAGTATTGGGGGTGCTCTGCCAATTGTTTTTGCCTATTTTTCTGAATTCTTGTCTCGGGAGAAGCGAGGAGAACACCTCAGTTGGCTGGGCATCTTCTGGATGACTGGGGGCCTCTACGCATCTGCCATGGCCTGGAGCATCATTCCACACTATGGTGAGCCATGGCTCAAAACAGCCTAGGGGCCCCTGTTTCTATGGCTCCTGCAACCAAACAATAGTTCCTGTCCTCAGCCTTATTTCACGTACTCACGCACAGTTCCCATATGTGACCTTGAACTTTCTTAACAACTTCTAACATTGCAGACACATTGTTAATTTCAATTCACATGTCTTTTTTGAAAAATATATCCTGTCCTCCCTCTCTTCCTCCTTCCTTCCTTTCCTTCATTCTTCCCTGTCTCCTTCCCTCTCTCCTTTTCTTGTTTCCTTACTTTTATTTGAAATAATTTCAACTTTCATCTCCTCCAGCCCTCCTCCCCCTGAGCCAGTTAGGCTTTGGTAACCTCATTTTATAGATGACAGGTATGTGACAAAAGCCAAGAGAAGTTGGTGAGTCGCTCAAGACCATGTCCCTGGCATGTGGTGGAGTGGGGGCTGGAGTCCTGATGTCCCCTCAGGTGCGGTAGGCTTGTACTCTTTCTACCCTAGTGCCTGCTGTCACTCTTGTTTGACTGTGGAAGTGCAGCAGCCCTTATAGACAAGGTCATGGTTTCAGCCGGGACAATTTTATTTTCCTGGATAATTGTAAACACTGTATTCTCTGGACAGAGACATGGAAACATCAACTTTTACTACTGGTTTCGTCAAGAGCAAAGTAGGGAGAAGGCAGCAATTTTGACTTTGATTCTGCTTTTGGAGTATACTGAGTAATACGCTCATCATCATTTAAAATCATTTTTGGTAAATCACTGATTATGAGTATAGGTTTAGCAGTGATTTAGAATCCTCAGACCCCGAGGGGGTAGCAGACACTTGCCCCTGAAGCTGACCGACACTTTACCACCTACTTATTGCCTTGTTTTAAATATGACCCTCTCTGCTGTGCTTTCTGAGCTAATGGAGGCTCATGGAGGCTCCATGTATACCTTTTTAAGAACAAGCTTTGGTTTAGACAGTACCTACTATATTAGTTAAGCTGTTACTGGGTGCATTACCACAACCAACTGATAAACCCTGAAATCTCGGTGTTTTGGTGACCTCGGCTTTGGTTTAGACAGTACCTACTATATTGCAAGCTTTGGTTTAGACAGTACCTACTATATTAGTTAAGCTGTTACTGGGTGCATTACCCTGACAAACTGATAAACCCTGAAATCTCAGTGTTTTAACACAGTGAAAGCCTCTCCCTTATGCGAGGTCTGGCTGGCATTCCTGATCTGCAGGTGGCTCCACTCCATCGAAAATTCTGGAGTTTAGACTCCTTCCATTGTGTCATTCTGTCATCTTCAACACACAGTTTACAAGGTCTCTGGTTTGGGGAAGGAGACTGGGCAGTTGTAGACTGGCTAAAGGCCAGGAAGTGGAGCACACTCACCATCTCTGCTCACATTCCAGTGGCCCCTGATCTGTAACATGCCCACACCCTCCTGCAAGGGACACTGGGTAACAATCTAGCTGTGTGCCCACAAAGTAGAGGAAGTGGTTTTGGGAAGACCATGTTGTCTTTGCCATATCTAGCACTTGAAAATCCACTGGATTTTATATCAGAAACAGGATAAATATGAACAGGAATAGTGAAATAAAGAGTTGAAATATATCAGAAACAGGATAAATATGAACAGGAATAGTGAAATAAAGAATATTGAAATAAAGGAATAGTAAAATAAACCACTATACACCAGGGGATGCAGGTCCAGTCAATTCTGTCACTCTAGTTCTCCATAATTTTAGATACAAAATTGTATTACTGCTACTATCAGGTTCTGCAATTTATCCCTCACTCAAATGCACACTTTAATTGCCCATGTACTATGCTGTTGATTATATGGTTTTGAGGCATTGCTTTTTTTTCCTTTTTTTCCTCACAATTCTTGATATAATATCATTTTCCCTGTTAGTTGATCCAAATGTTTGAATACTAAGGGATTATTGTCACTTTTTTTTTTTTTTTTTTTTTTTTTTTGAGGACAGGGTGTTGCTCTATCACCCAGCCTGGAGTGCAGTGGCATGATCTCAGTTCACTGCAACCTCTGCCTCCCAGGTTCAAGCAATATTCGTGTCTCAGTCACCCAAGTAGCTGGGATTACAGGTGTGAGCCACCACACCCAGCTAATTTTTGTATTTTTAGTTGAGTCGGGGTTTCACCATGTTGGCCAGGCTGGTCTCCAACGCCCGACCTCAAGTGATCCACCCGCCTCAGCCTCCCAAAGTGCTGGGATTACAAGTGTGAGCCATAGTGCCCGGCCTATTTTCACATTTAAATGAAGTGATTGAAAACCCTTTTATGGAGGGAAGCAACTTACATCTGAATAAAAGCTGAATCCAAATAGTGGTGCTGTGTGATACGGGACAAGTCAATCCATCTTTTCAGCCTGGGTTCCCTCACCTGTAAAATGGAGGGGAGAAAGGACACAAAAAGAATCAGCTGTAGATATACCTGCCAGCCCGAACCTTTGGCAATTCTTGGGGTACACAGAGGAATTAATGTTGAGAAAAATTCCAGGATAATTCTAGTACTTAGGCTAACTTCCCTCCTGGAAGCATTAGCAATACCAGGCTTTCTATTTGCAGACTACTTGTTTCATGGGGAAAGCCCACCCTCACACTCGACCAATGAGAAAGGGTCTTTGATTTCCCTCTGATTGGATCAGCCTTGGTCATGTGTCCACCACAGCCAACCACTATACACCAGGGGATGCAGGTCCAGAAGGGTTTAGATCCACTTCTGTCCCCATCCCTGGAGCTAGGGATAGGGTCAGTCCCACCGAAACCACAGGTGTGCAACGCAGTGGTGAAGAAAAGGTAGGAGGATGTTGTGAGGGAAGCTAGCAACCCACAATAGTCACTACAAACTGCATCTTTTTTTCACTTCACAAACACACACACTTACGCAAAGGCACACACTACTGTGTCAGTGTCTGATTTCTAGGAAAGCAATTAAAAGAATTCAGGTTTGGGACATGTTGACCAACATAGATGGGATGTCCATGGCAGAGGGACCCCATGGTAACTGTCTGACCACTGCAGGCTGACAGCAGTGCTTGTGGTTAAATACTTTACCCCAAATGAGATTATTATTCTAAGTGAAGTAACTCAGGAATGGAAAACCAAACATCGTAAGTTCTCACTCATAAGTAGGAGCTAAGCTATGAGGATGCAAAGGCGTAAGAATGACACAATGGACTCTGGGGACTCGGGGAAAGGGTGGGAAGGGGGTGAGGGATAAAAGACTACAAATTGTGTGCAGTGTATACTGCTTGGGTGATGGGTGCACCAAAATCTCACAGATCACCACTAAAGAACTTACTCATGTAACCAAACACCACTGTTCCCCAATAACCTGTGGAAATAAAAAATTAAAAAATTATTTTACCTCAAATGGACAGGACATTTCCCTATGTGTATGCCTGTATGATATCTGTGACTTTTATACTCCATTTTAAAATAGAAGCCTCCTGGATGATCAGGCTTAATTGAAACAGGCGTTCACTTGTGGGAAATCCATCCTAGAAATATGGTAGGCTAGAATCACAGTGTAACAAGAGCCATTATTTACCTTAAGCCTCGGATGTTTTGTCCACAGTGAACCAGACATTTGATGGTATTTTCCAATGTGCCTAATGCATTAATCCTCTAACAAATGCAAGTGTAACTTTAGAGAAGAGATTGATATTTGTGTGTACAGCTTGTGTAGTCTGTTTAATTGATTTTGCAAAACTGAAGTAAGGGAAAGTCTTGGCACCAGGAATTTGAGTGACTGGCTCATTGAGAAAGAAAATTACAAAGCTCAGAATGTTTTCCTGTGAACTCATGGGTAAAGCTCAGAAAAAAATGGATATATTATGGAAGATTAATTCCCATTGTAGTCAGCATTACCAGCTGTTTGTGAAATCCTGACAGAGAAAAGTAGGGCAAGCTAGAAGATCAGCAAACAGAACAATCTCTTCCTCCAAATTAATATTGTTCCAAATATTTGGAAGCAGTTTGCCATTTAATTTTATTTAATTTAAGGCCCCGAAGATGTGCCTAATGAATGTGATAAATGCAGATTACTGAAATCACCATAAAAGTCAGAGAGGCGTGAGGGAATAATGGATTTTGTATAATTTGTGCATATTATAATAAAGAAAAAGATCTTTTTGAAGCAGAATACTTTATAAACATAACTGCTTCTGCCCTTCTTCCTTGGTTATCCATCTGAGTTTGACTGCTGTGTGGTTTTGATCACCTTTACTTCTAATGATGCCAGAATAGTTTTTGCACGTGAGCTGAGAATGTGTAAATATTGCTATGGTTTTATCTCCCTCTTTCTAGTGTTACTCCCAGGAGAAAGAAAAGGTTTTTAAATTAAAATTAAAATGAACGAACAAGCCTCAGTGAGATGATAAGAGACCAAGCTGTGCAAAAAGAGATTCGATTCTGATTGAGTGTATTGGATGGGGTGTGTGTTGAGTTGCTGTGGCCAAAGGTGTCCAAGGGACCACAGTCCCACATTTCCAAACTGGGATTTCCTCTACCTAGTCTTTTAATTGTACAAATAGAGTAGAAAATGTCTGCAGGAACAGCAGATAATTGGTTAAGAGTCTGCTGCGAGTAGAACAAGTTGAACCACAACGGAGTAATAAAAATTCAAGGCAAGCTGTTTGCCACTGGAGTTGGCCATATGTTATATTTCTAAGTAAATGAAATAGAAGTTTTATATCAAAATAACTATTGCCCTCTAAACTTTATAAATCGATATATTTACTTACATAGTCTTGTCTTTCACAAATACCATTTGAATTGTCTTCAGAAATACTTCATGGCACGAGAAAACCAGTCTATTTTATAATCTCGGCTCTATTTTTAAAAAAATTCTTCTGCTGATCTTTGCTGATATTTATCTATTTTATTCAACATCCTTGGCACTAAATGTCATGGAGCTATTTCTAAAAAAAATCAAATGTACTCTCAAAGCAGGTGAAGTATGATGGGTTGCTAGGAGGGTTCACACATGACAAATCTATGGAGGTATCATTACCTGTATTCTACAGCTGTGAAAACCCACGAATGCGATTCCATAGGATCAGACCAGAACTCTGATCTCTGTGACTGCAAAAGTCTAGGCTCTTTCCACTTTATTACTTAAAAGAGGGAAGTTTGCTACCCATGAGGATATTCAAAACAATGCTTCAATGTAATTTCTGAAGATGAGTTTTAGCAATGCTTTCAATAATGATGATTGAATAGGAGCTAGTTATCTTCCCATTTCAATGATGATAGGATGCCTTTGAATGTAGAAGTTCGGTCTGTCATTTAAAAAAATTGTGTAGTCGTATAACAACTTACAGTGTTTTTCGAAATGGGGTCCTGAACCCTTTGCACTGGAATCACCTGGAGCTGGCATTGCCCTTTGACGTTGGAAAGAGGGATCTCCAATAGAAGCCCTGGGCCGTATGAGGCACTGCTCTGGCCTTCCTCTGGCTGCACCCCTTCCCACGAGGCAAGGGATCTCTGAGGCCATGATCCCCATCCCCATCTCCATCCAGATTATGCTGTGGGTGCTCAGGACCCAGGAATTCCCGTAGACTCAAGAAATCAAGACAGGAGTGCCCATTCTCATCACAGTGGTGTGTCCACGCATGTCTGCATGAGATCCCTCACTTGGAAGGAGGGGTTGGGGGATTGAAAAGGGGATGTGGTACATATGGGTGTAAATTCTGGGCCTAGACTTCTAGCTTGTTGCTTGTCAAGGCAGGCAGATAGAATGTATTTCATTTAACAATTTGCCATCTTAAAAATACAATGATTCTATAGGCATATGGCCTACTGCTTCTGTTTGTACTCTCATCCAAGGCTCTGTAAATGTCAGGCCAGGCCTGGACCTGGGGATTTGTCAGAATGCAGATTTTGACAAATTTGCAATGTGAGAAATATCATTTTGCAGATTTGTCAAGATGCAGCTCCTATCCCAGACTTACCACTCAGAAGCTTTGGAGGCACAGCTGAGGAGTCTGCATTTTAACCACCTCCCTGGGTGATTATCTTGTGCCCTGAAGTTTGTGAGTCAGGGCTTCAGAGTCACTCTTCTGTAGAGGAAAAGATCATGTCCCAGAAATCCTTTGACTGACTGCTCCTTTGCAGGCTGGGGCTTCAGCATGGGGACCAATTACCACTTCCATAGCTGGAGAGTGTTTGTCATCGTCTGTGCTCTGCCCTGCACTGCGTCCATGGTGGCCCTGAAGTTCATGCCAGAGAGCCCACGGTTTCTGCTAGAGGTGAGTCAGTGCTTTTCCACCAGGGGAAGAGCGACAAAACAGCCACCGGAATCCAGCCTCGCTTCCTTCTCTCAGCCCCTAGTCCCACATCCTCTGCTGCTTACGCGTTGCAAACTCCCCCAGGTTGGCTGACCTCACTCATCATTAAATCTGGCACCCTGCCTGCTGTGATGGTGGCAGGTCATGGATTCACGGACTGTAAATGCTGGAAGGTTCAAGAGCTTGGGGAGCCCAGAGCAGGAGCTCCTTCCCAAGACTGTGCAGTGGTGGAAGGCAGCTCCTGAGCTGCCTCACAGCACCCACTGTCCCCCGAGGTCCTGATTAGAAAGTTTTTTAGCCTGGGCTACATAGGGCGACCTCATCTCTACAAAAATAAAAAAAATTAGCTGAGCGATTTGGTGCATGCATGCCTGTGGTCCCAGCTACTTGGAGGCTGAGGTGGGAGGACTGCTTGGGCCCCAGAGATCAAGCCTGCAGAGAACCATGGTTGTGTCACTGCACTCCACTCTGGGTAACAAAGAGAGACCCTGTCTCAGTAAGTAAATAAATGAAGGAAGGAAGGAAGGAACGAAGGAAGGAAGGAAGGAAGGAAGGAAGCTCTTTAGAGCTGCTGTTTTTCTGTGTTTGGCAGTGAGAGCTATGGTACAGCTTCTTGCTGCTCCCAAGCCTTTCGGGTGTCTTAGCTACACAGGGTTCCCAGCCACCAGACAGCTGCATCTGTGTCCTGAGAGATGAGTCCCATGAGCCTTCCAACAGCGGGGGAGCCTCCTGCTTGCAGAAGTCAGACAGTACCGGAGCAGGCAGCGGGGCAACAGGACCTTGAGGCTCTTCCAGCCCCAATCTGCAGAGTCTACTTATCTGCCTCCTTCCTAAGCCTTCTGCAGAGTGACCCTCCATGTTGAATGTCCCTGTTCACCCCTTTGATCAGGAGGCAGATGCAACAGGGAGTTTTGCACCCTTGGTTGGATAGGAGTGTCCTAGGGCTGCTGTAGCAAAATGCCACAAACTGAGTGACTTTAAAAGACAGATTTGTCTCACAGTTTCAGAGGCTTGAAGTCCCAAATCAAAGCAGCAGCAAGGTCATGCTCCCTCAGAAAACTGTAGGGGAGACTCCTTCCTTGCCTCTTCCAGATTCTGGTGGTTTGCGGCAATTTTGACCGTTCCCTGGCTTGCAGCTGCATCACTCCAGTCGTGGCCTTCATCATCACATGGCGTCCTCCCTGCACGCCTCTGTCTCCATATGGATGTCTTCCTATAAGGGCAGCTGTTCTGTTGAATCAGGGCTCCATCCACTCCAGAATGTCCTCATCTTAATTTAGCTAATTGCACTTGCCACAACCCTATTTCCAAATAAAGTCACTCTCTGTGGTACTGGGGATTAGGACTTCACCATATCTTTTTTTGGGGGACACAGTTCAACCTGTAACACATTGTTTCTTTGCCTTATCTCATCAGTGAGGAACCTAATAACTGCGATTAGTTACTTAGAGTGTATAATGATAATACTACCTAGCATTTACACTTTGAAAGCACGACCTTATTATCCTTGTAAGATTGGCTGGGGATGGAAGCTTGTCCTGGTCTTTCACAGGTCCTAGATGGTAATGAGTCCACATGCAATTGCCTTAGACCTGGTAGGAATGCTTGTATCAACATTCTCATTGAGTTCGTCGGATTTTCCACCCCTAGTGAACAGAAGGCATAGTCAGCAATGAATTTTTCCTGTGTCTTTCCTTGGTTTCACCAGATGGGAAAACATGACGAAGCCTGGATGATTCTCAAGCAAGTCCATGACACCAACATGAGAGCTAAGGGGACCCCAGAGAAAGTGTTCACGGTGAGCGTGGGGTTGCCTGCCAATAAGAAGGGGGTTCTCCTCTTCACTGCTTTGGTTTGCTAAAAAGTAATTTAAGCACATAACAGAAAATTTGTCAAAAGGAGAATGAAGACTCTGCTATTGCTGTTACTTTATAATAATTATTCTTTGCATTTTGATGGATATCCTTTGAGGTTTTTCCTCAGGTTGCTAGTTGTTTTTAAAAATGGTGCCAGGCGCAGTGGCTCATGCCTGTAATCCCAGCACTTTGGAAGGCTGTATTAGTCCATTTTCATGCTGCTGATAAAGGCATACCCGAGACTGGGAGGAAAAAGAGGTTTAATTGGACTTACAGTTCCACGTGGCTGGGGAGGCCTCAGAATCATGGCAGGTGGCGAAAGGCACTTCTTACATGGTGGCAGCAAGAGAAAATGAGGAATTTGCAAAAGCGGAAACCTCTGATAAACCTATCAGATCTCATAAGACTTATTCACTACCATGAGAACAGTATGGGGGAAACCGCCCCCATGATTAAAATTAGCTCCCATCGTGTCCCTGCCACAACATGTGGGAATTATGGGAGTACAATTCAAGATGAGATTCGTGTGGGAACGCAGAGCCAAACCACATCAGAGGCTAAGGCTGGCAGATCACTTGAAGTCAGGCGTTCAAGACCAGCCTGGCCAACATGGCAAAACGCCGTCTCTACTAAAAATACAAAAAAATTAGCTGGGCTTGGTGGCATGTGCCTATAATCCCAGCTACTCAGGAGGCTGAGGCATGAGAATTGCTTAAACCCAGGATGTAGAGGTTGCAGTGAGCTGAGATGGTGCCTCTGCACTCCAGCCTAGACAACAGAGCAAGACTGTGTCTGAAAAAAAATAGTAACAGAAATAAACAGATTTCTCTGGGGATCAGCATATGTATGTATATTTATGTGTACATATTATTTAACACTGTAGCACTCATTATCATTTTACATGTTGTCTCCTAGTATTCATAATCATCATTTTAATAAACAGTAGTGTTATGAACATTAACACAGTTTTCCTAACATGTCTCTAATGTTAGAAGCTTATTTTTCCAGTTGTACTACCTTGTTTCTGTAAATATTAGTGCAATGAACCTTCTTGTGCACATAGTTCCTCCCCCTTCATGTTCTAGGAGTGTTTTATTTCCAGGAGTAGACTCCTAGAAATGAAAGTGCTGGCTCAGAGAGCTTGGATATTTTTATAGCTCTTGAGATATATTGCCAAATCATAATACATTTCAACTGGGTTGTACCAATCTGCAATGCCACAGGCAATAGGGGACCCATTTCCTTACACTCTTACCATCATTGGCTGTTAGTCTGAATTTTGTTTCTTGCCAGTTTTAAAAGCAAACAAAGCTGAACAAAACAAAATGGTAAATGGTAATTTCCATGAAGACGGCCTGATAGTTACAGAGATGCCGTCTTCCTGCCTGCCATGCTCTGACAAACCAGGAGGCTATAGGCATCTTTGTGCACCTGTTTCTATAACTTCCCCCACTTCAAATCCATTTTCTCAAGGAAACCTTCCTGGAGTAACTCCTACCTAATTTTGATTCACTGCTTTTGATTTTTTAGCTTCTGTAATTTCCGTTTCGAGTAAACCATTTACCCTTGTTAACCTGTTACTTAAAACCTCTGCTTTTCAGGCAGGATCACACTGTGGCTAAGCATCTGCACCCAAAATATCAAATCCCAGTTTTGACACTTTCTAGCTGTGTGGCCTTAGGCAAGGTACTCTCCGTGCCTCATTTTTCTCATGGAGAAAAGCGGGATAATCATATCTGTAATTGTGGCTATTGTAAGGATTAAATAAAATACCAAAAACAACAACAACAACAACAACAACAACAAAAAACCAGTGCCTGGCTTGGAGTAAGTGCTAGACAGATGTTAATCATTGTTTAAATTATGACATTTTTTCATAAATTAACTCAAGTTATAAATTTTATGGAAAATTCATCAGTGGGATATTTTCTCAATTCTACTGCTTCTAAAATATCTGAAATATGGGACCAATTTTTTTCTTTTTTTTTTAATAACTTCTGTTTTAGGTTCAGGAGTACATGTGAAGGTTTGTTATATACGTGAACTTGCGTCACAGGGGTTTGTTGTACAGATTATTTTGTCACCCAGGTATTAAGCCCAGCACCCAATAGTTATCTTTTCTGCCCCTCTCCCTCCTCCCACCCTCCACCACCAAGTAGACCCCCCAGTGTTGGTTGTCCCCTTCTTTGTGTTCATAGGTGCTCATCATTTAGCTCCCACTCATAAGTGAGAACATGTACTGCAAACATTTATTAAGAAGCATAATGAACAGAAATGCTCCCAATGGAAGATGTTAAGGGTCACAATGATTCTCCCGATCTTCCATCCCCGCCGACTCTGTGATGGCCTGGAGTGCTCCCGCTGTGCTGCAGGTGTGGAAGCCACACACTGGTGAGGCTTCTGGGTGTACTTGGCTCAGTCCTGCCACTCTGCCCCTGCTGCCTCGTTCCATGGCCAGAGGAAGTCCAAGTTTCTCTCTGAGCTCCTGCTTATTTCTGGAAGATGTTTCCATGGTCTTCTGTCTCTGCCTCCAGTCTCTGACTCCACATTGGCTGGACTGGTTTTTGCACTGCATCAACCTGGCCTGAAACACAGGCACACACAAGCATATACACAAAGACAAGATATTTCACATCTTCTCTGTCTCTGCCTCCAGTCTCTGACTCCACATTGGCGAGCTGACTGCCTTTAAAATTGCATCAACCTGGGCCTGAAAAACACAGGGCACACACAAGCAAGGTACAAAAAAGACATGGAGACACACAGACATAGGCAATCATATACACAGAGACACAATGTATTTCAAATGTATGCCACAGAGACACACAGACACACACGAAGACAGTAGACACAGAGACACAGAGACACACAAGACAGACACACACAGACACAGACACACAGACACGGGAACACAAACACAGAAACACACAGACACAGACACACATTAAGACAGACATGGACTTCAGAACATGCAATGATGAGACACATGTTAGTATAAGCCACACAAGAAGACACAGAGACACGTGGACACAGACACATTAAGACAGACACACAGACACAGACACACAGACACAGGAACACAAACACAGAACCACACAGACACAGACACACACATTAAGACACACACAGACAGACACAGGGACACACGGACACACGGACACACATGTAAACACACACATAATATTAAACAAACATGCAGATGGTAGAGACACACATACATTAAGATACAGCAGACAGAGATACACAGACACAGTGTCAGACAAACAGCAGGTGAAACACAAACACAGAAACACACACAAATTAAGACACACACACAGACACACAGACACACATTAAGACAGACACACAGACACAGACATCACTCATACCAAGCATTTGGGGTTGAATGGGCTTCCTGAACATTTGTGAACAGAGGAATTACATCGCAGAGTGCAGCCTTCTTCTTCCTTTCTCCCTGCCCCTCCTCCCTTTCAGTCTCTCCACCTCTTTTCCTCTGCCTTCTCTCTATTCTTCTCCCTTTGGAATAAAACAGTTTCTCCTTGCTTATGCATAGTAAGTTACTAGTGTTTTAAATCTGAGAGTGTCTCTCTGGGATTTCCCCATGCCTCCAGCAGTTATTAACAGATTTATTTCAAACGCACAGACTGTCCCAGGAGGAGTCCACCCCACCCTGTTCTGCCTGTCTGCCTTTGCCTGCCCACGCAGACTATCAGCTCCTCCCCACTCGCATCTTGCCCTAGGGCGTCTTGTACAGAAGGTTCCACGCAGTGGTGCGCAGCCAGGCATTTCCTAACTGTTGCTTCTGGAAGGACCCCTTCTACACCAACCAAATGGGCTTGCCCCACTGGGAGCCCATTTTTTGGAGAAGTGATCCCACATTCTCTCCTGACAATGCATTCTACTGTGTTAAACAGAAACTTTGGCACATTAAAATTTTAGAGAGTTTATTTACGGAGACAGTGATTCATCAGTCGGGTAGCTCACACTGGAAGTGGGTCAGGGCTTTACGGAAGGAGCAGAGGGAGAGGCTTTTATAAGTCGAACATGGAGGCAGAGAAGAGAAAGTATTTGCTGGGCTAGAGTTTGAGCGATTGCCTCATTTGGATTATTCCAGTGGGAAGTTCAAGATAATATAGCCAGCGCCCGCTCAGCCAACTGGGATTGGCTGAGCTTGTTTCATTTTCTTTAAAATTCTGAGTTAGGTTTCTGCTTGATAATGTGGCAACCCAGGGCATTAGAGCCACTTCCGTTGAGTGGCCTCCCATTTAGTTATTTTAACAAATGCAGCCGCCGAATGCTGAAGAATGAGATCTTAGCTAGGAAATCAATAAAAATGCCAATTTTCAGACATAAAAGCCTTTTACAACAGGATCAGAGTTCCTCATTTTCGGGGTGGGAGTGCACCTGGAGGAAGGAAGTTCAGGCAGAAATCAATGTGTGGAGAGTTATGAAATTTTGGAGTTGGTCTTATCCCAGCATGCATGCCAGTTACTAGGTTCTGAGGCATAACTTCTGCTTTTAGTTTTAACCCAACAGGAAGAGGGACTTAAAAAAGGTTATGGGCTCAGTATTTTATACTGACCTGATGATTATATTAATGATGTAGAAGTAAATGACTGGATGGGCCAGAAAAAGAAATGAAAAAAGAGAGATAACCAGAAAGTGGTAACTGACCTCAGAGAGCTGGCCTGTGGTTGGCGATCAGGGGCGGGTCCTCAGCCCGGCTTGATGGCCTTGCCTGTCTTACTCCTGTGTGTGCCCCACCAGCAGACATGCTCACAGATGTATTCAGTGGCCTGGAGGGAGAGCTTAGGGCAGTCAGACTCTTAGTTGGTGCCTGTGCTGTGAGCTCTAGATTTTACCAGCCCTGTTGCTGCCTCACAAACTCACAGTGAAACCTTTGGAAGGAGAAGGAGTTGAAGCATTCGGTTGAGAACCCACGATCTGCAGGTCTGGGGTAACACAGGCCATATTCTAATTTAGACTGAATCATAGACAATTGTTCTAATGAATCGTAAATTAGAGTGAGTAACTGTGCTTGAAGTTGTCAACACACCCACTCCCTAATCCCAAAGGAAGACAGTGATATTTTCCCCAAGGAGCAAAGAAAGGAAAAATCGACATTTGAGAGGATAACTTAAGGCTTTGGGGTGTGGTGTTTGAGGTGCTTCCTGAGTTGGTGTTAACTTCCCCTTTAGCCTCCTTTGGCTGTCGCTGGGGTTCATAACATCCATGAAGGTATTGATTAGCTTGAAACCCAGCTCCAGCCAAGAGTTCTGCTGCAGAGTCTGCTGTTAGTTCTGACGCTTCCGTGTCTGACCTCAGGCGGAAGATCACTTGCAAAGGCTGCATAGCTGGGAGTGGCAAGATGAGTCCAGGAGGCTCACAGTGTGGTCCTGTCCTTGACATTTCTGGGAAGAGAGCCTATGCCTTTAGCAGATTCTCAAATGGGCGTCTAGCCCTCCCAGAAGCTTAAGAACCACTGTTTTGGCTGGGTGCAGTGGCTCACATCAGTAATCCCAGCACTGTGGGAGGCCGAGGCAGGCAGATCACGAGGCCAAGAGATCGAGACCATCCTGGCCAACATGGTGAAGCCCTGTCTCTACTAAAAAATACAAAAAAAGTACCTGGGTGTAGTGGTGCGCGCCTGTAGTCCCGGCTACTCGGGAGGCTGAGGCAGGAGAATTGTTTGAACCCAGGAGGTGGAGGTTGCAGTGAGCCGAGATGGTGCCACTGCACTCCAGCCTGGTGACAGAGTGAGACTCTGTCTCAAAAAACAAAACAAAACAAAACAAAACAAAACAAAACAAAACACTGTTTTTTCGGTTTAAAAAAGAATAGCCAAGCTGTCTTAGACCTAGTGCTCTGGAAATGATGAGTCGGTTGTCCACTTTCCAGGGGCTGCTTTCTCCCCACGGATTGTCCAGTCCCATCTGTATTTTTCTTCTGTTACCTCCTCATATCCTCAGTCCTTCGGCTGAAGAAAGAGGTGGAGACACTATGATTTGTCTTTATCCCTAGATGAAAAGTTTATTGGAGGAGGTGATGGAAACTGTTTTTGATTTTTTTTTGCGTGCGCTCTTTGAGAAATCAAAGACTCCTCTATTCCTAAATCAGTTTAAATAGTTACATTAAACTACACATTGAAAACTCTGACACAAAGTGGGGTTCAGATTCTCTATATCCTATTTTTACTTTTCAGGTTTCCAACATCAAAACTCCCAAGCAAATGGATGAATTCATTGAGATCCAAAGTTCAACAGGAACCTGGTACCAGCGCTGGCTGGTCAGATTCAAGACCATTTTCAAGCAGGTGTGACTGGGAACTTACTTTGGGTGAGAAGTTGGCTCTATGGGAGTCTCTAACCTTAGTGGATGAAAAATGCAGATCCTGAACATCCCCACCAACCTGGGGCAGCGTGTTGGAGAGGAATCAATCCTGGAAGGGGGTGTTTGGGCTCCAGCCCACGTCTGCCTCTAGCTTGGTGTGTGCTCTGGAGCTGAAAACTCTCTAAATCTTAGTTTCTTTTCTTTGTTCTTCCTTCCCAAGGCAGGGATTTTGAATGTAGGTAAAATGTCTAGTCTGAGTAAACATCTTCTCTCTAGCAAATTTTAAAATAATCCACAGGGGAGGAAGAAGTGAGTGAAATAAACGACCCCTTGAGGCTTGTTCTTGATTTCCAAGAAATATTTTTCTAAATGGGCAATGCCATTTCTCTGGAGCACTGGCTCCTCCAAGTAGGGATTCAGTCAGCTATTGAGCACTGAGGCAGCCAGCCAGCCAGAGTCTGTTGGGACTGAATGGTCTTCGCAGTGTGTGGTCAATAAATGTTTGCAATATCCCCCTTGCCCACAGGCAGGGCGTAGAACTCAGTAGTCCAGGTTACTCCGTGCCTTGAAGTCCTAACTCAGTGTGCTTTCAATCACATTCATGGAATATTGTGTTCTCGGGGAAAATCCTATTGGACTGTTAGAGTATGAGGCCAGCCAGTAAGAAGAGAAGAGGCTTTCCTTGTTGTTTGGAGAGATTTGCTGCCCTTAGGAGACAGTGGGGTGCCCATTCTCTTCATGGGTTCCTAGGCAATTTATTAGAAAATCTGAGTAATGAGCTCTTTGACTGTGGGAGAAACAAAGTCACACATTGCTTTCTTTAACAATCCTTCTCTGATATGGGTTGTAGGTCTGGGATAATGCCTTGTACTGTGTGATGGGGCCCTACAGAATGAATACACTGATTCTGGCCGTGGTTTGGTTTGCCATGGCATTAAGGTAAGTTCTGTCTTACTTAAATTTCGTAATTCCGTGTGTCTCAGTGGCCTCCTTTACACATTTGGGACTACAGGCATGCACCACCACACCTGGATAAGTTTTGTATTTTTAGTAGAGATGCGGTTTTGCCATGTTGGCCAGGATGGTCTTGAACTCCTGACCTCAAGTGAACTGCCTTCCTCACCATCCCAAAGTGCTGGGATTACAGGCATGAGCCACCGCATCGGCCAGTGGGGATGTCTTTAGCGTTTCCCTATTCACTAAGATTCTGTCTGAGACATGTATATTTTATGTGTTAAGGAGGTGTCCACCAATCCCTAATCTATTGGTGTTTTTATCAGGAAAAAATTTCTTTTAAATCAAATGCCTTTTCAGCATTTATGGAGGTGGACCTATTTTTTCCTCTTGTATCTATTAATATGAGGATTTATATTATCAGTTTTTCTAATAATGAACCAAATTAATGTATTTTCAATGAGTTTGATCTACATCAAGTCAAGAATGTAGACCCTGATCATGAAAGAATTAATCTTCTTGTTGCTCCAACCTTCTCCCTTCTCCACTCCAGTTACTATGGACTGACAGTTTGGTTTCCTGATATGATCCGCTATTTTCAAGATGAAGAATACAAGTCTAAAATGAAGGTGTTTTTTGGTGAGCATGTGTATGGCGCCACAATCAACTTCACGATGGAAAATCAGATCCACCAACATGGGAAACTTGTGAATGATAAGTAAGTGAGTGAGCACAGGCTTCCCTCACATCAGGGTGACAGTTGTGGGGACTGTTTTTGGGAGGGAGCCAGAGGGAAGATAAGAATGAAATATGGCCGGGAATGAGCGCCAAGGCTGGTGTCAGCATCACAACTTGTCATGGCTGCCAGAGACTCCATAGCTCCCCTGGTGGCTGTGTCTGCATTGTGCTGGCTCCTCGATACCCTGATCTCCTGGCGAGAGCTGTTTCATGCAGGGATGGAGACATTTGACTGAGGACGGTCAGTTGGGCCATTTTTCCAAGAACTTGAACCTTTCATGGAAATTAGCAGAAAGTGATGTCTCATTAAGAGTGGCTGCCCAGAGAAAGGGCCCAGGGCTCTTACTGCTAAGATTCCTGAACTAGTCCAAAGTCCGGGTGTTGAGCTTTTAATTTGACCCTAGAAGCTTTTCCATGCCAGGACTAATAGAGCCCTGTTGTAATTCTTTCACCTAATATTACTTTGGAGGGTTGATCAGTATGGTCCATGGTCAGCCAGGAGTGTTTTTTAGAGGAAAAAAAAAATCAGTGGAGGATTAGAAAATTCCTGTTCACATCTTTGTGGGGCTACTTCCTCAATTCATGTTACTTCTACTCCTGGTCCTGGGACAAATGAGATGGGCCATCCACACTGTTGTGCTTTAGGAATGCCTCTTTGAAACTTTCCTCTGCAACCCTCAAGACGGATCAGGGCAGGACCTTAACCATGCTTCCCCAAGGCCACGTTATTCATTAAACTGAGCATTTACCCCTCTGCTGTTTCCCTTCTTGAACTGTACTTAGCAAGCTCATCAGGTTGTGAATGGTAAGTAAGTGGGTGGCCATGGGCTATGCAGTGGCACCTGAAATACCATGGCACAGATAGTTCAATGTCAGTCACATTAACTGCCACATATTTACCACTTCAATACAAAATTAATTAACGCCACGAATTCTCACCTCTGGTGAATGTTCTATCTCCCCCTGTCTGCACCCACATATGCGTCTGGTGTCTCAGTAAAGTCTCTACCTGTAGTGACTCCTGGCCACTTTAGGAAAGGAATGGCTGGGTGAAGCCCAGGAAGGATACCTCTTTAAGTTTATTCTGTATTGTTCTCACAGGCTAGACTGTAGCAAAGGCTCCCTGTTATTTAAGGTGAGAAAGTATGCAATAAAAAGGAGAATGTTATTTCTACCAATATCAGACCTTTGGGAAGGAAGTTTTAGGACCAAGTATCATTGACGTGGGTTCAGATTTTCAGATTTTTTTAAAATGCTGAAGCCCAGTACAGACATCTCCATACTCATATACCCATGCATCCATACATCCCCTGCAGAGACAGTTCAGAGTCATTATCCTCTGCCCAGAGTGACCACTTCAGGGATGGCGGCTCCAATGCTCGTGGTGGTGGAAGGCAGTTCCCCCAAGATGTTTCATTGTCTGAGCTCTTTAGTATGTCAGGAGGTCTTGTGTTGACATTGCCAAGGAAGAAATGTCACCCTTGCTTTATTAGGATACTTTGGAAATATTGAAAACCAAGGAACATTATGGATGACTAGATGTTACCCATGGGGTCACACCATTCCCTGCAGAGATGAATTCCCTAAAGGAGACCTCATTTCTGAAGTTCCCAATGTTTAGTGATACATTATTTTGATACAAGTAATACTAATGGTAGCAGTGACAATGATAATAATGCCAGTGATAGTCACTATAGCAGCCGGCGTTAATGAGCATTGCTGTGTACCAGGTGCTGCCTTAAGTGCTTTATGTAGATTATCTCACAAAACTCCAGGGAACAAGAAACATGCTTTCTCTTTTGCAAGTGGGGAACAGAAGCTTAGAGAGGTTAAATATCTTGCTCAAAATCACACAGCTGATATACACAGAAATATCTATCTCCAACCCACATATTTGGACTCCAGATCTTGTACTCTTGACAACTACAAATATTTTCTCATTAGGAAACTCTTCATTCCTACAAAGGTGCAGTTTTACGTGATACTTTCTGCATTAAAGTCAACACAATGTGGAGTCCTTGTGGTAACAAGCAAGTTTTGCAGTTCTGACACTTAGCTAGGCAGAAAGTGGAGACTTTTGATCCACTCTGTCCTTTTAATTTTGCTCAGCTTCTCCAGGCTTTCAAAACTGCTGGGTGGGAGTGAGGAGGAAACAGGGGCTGAAGAAAGCAATGTTGAATACCATGGATGATGGGTGGACGGTGAATCCTGTGGATGACGGGTGGACGGTGAATCCTGCGGATGACGGGTGGACGGTGAATCCTGCGGATGATGGGTGGACGGTGAATCCTGTGGATGAGGGGTGGATGGTGAATCTTGCGGATGACGGGTGGACGGTGAATCCTGTGGATGATGTGTGGACAATGAATCCTGTGGATGACGAGTGGATGGTGAATCCTGTGGATGATGTGTGGACGGTGAATCTTGCGGGTGATGTGTGGACGGTGAATCCTGCGGATGATGTGTGGACGGTGAATCTTGTGGGTGATGGGTGGATGGTGAATCCTGCGGATGATATGTGGATGGTGAATCCTGTGGATGACGGGTAATGAATCTTGTGGATTCAGGACCCCCGAGGGACATTATGGATGATTAGATGCCCCCCCCAACCCAACGGGGTGACACCATTCCCTGCAGAGATGAATTATTTTAAGGAGACCTCATTTCTGAAGTTCCCAATGTTTATTTAGCAGATACATCATTGTGATATGAGTAATAATGTTGATAGTAGTGACAGTGATAATGCTAATAATGGTAACTGTAGCAGCCAATGTTATTGCCAAGGTCTGGGAATGTATAAGTGTGCCAAGGATTGTCTCGGAGTGGATTGTCTTCACACATTTTCTACCATGTTTCTATGCTTCAAATGTACACGGATGCTTTTGCATGATTATGAAAATATAAATTTCTTCAAAAGTTGTAATGAGTTCATTGTAACTTTCGTCATATGGTATATGTTTTTTAACTAACCGACACTAAACCTATACCCACTATTATTTGAAGCCCATAATTCCCCCACTCCCTCCCCAGCAACTTGTTTGAATGAAAAGGGTATTTTTCCCCTTGACTGATTAGGAACCTTTGAAAATGATCTAAGGAATGAAAGGAGCCTGGCTTCTTTTCTTGAGTTATTCTGCCATCTGCTGGTCATAAACTGGAAAACACCTCATTTTTGAAAACCCCAACCCTCTTCTGAGGCCTCCAGGGATACACACGTGTTCTTTAGCTTCCTTGGGGGCTTTTCTCCCATCCTTACCAGTACTCCTCCTTTGACTTTATTCATACTTGGCTGATTTAAGGTTTTGATGGAAATTATTTTGTTGAATATCACATATGGTGGAAAATTATTTTGTGTTAAGGGCTTTAAAAAGATTTCACCCACAGACATTGTTAACAAAGGAAATTCTATTGAAACTTCAGTTTCATCCTACAGTAAAACCAATCCCTTTGCCCCCAGGAAGAAACAAAAGTGCCAAGGGTAGTTTTGGTCTGCTCCCGAAGCATCATCTGCAGCCTTCTAGTGCCTTTTTTTGGGATCTGGGGTCTCTGAGTACCCATGAAGCTTTGACTTCAAAACCTGTGAGTTTTTGGAAAGTGCAAGAAAGGCAAAAGAATAAGTTCATGTTTTAAACCCTGAGCTGAAATGCCAGGCCAGCCTTCCTTTATTGTTAGCTAAAAACAGGATAGATTTTCTACCCAGAATATGTGTTAACTAACTAATTAATTAACTAACTTACCTTCTCTTCCTGGGAAGACATTTCTGCTTGGTAGGGCTTTCTTCTGTGACGGTTAGGAGCGGGAGGGCGTTATTTTATTTAAACTTTTCTGCACATCAGGGAGAGGTGCCTGATTTCTGTCTGTGATAGGTTGTGACCCGGAAGGAATGTCTTTCTCCTGGCAGTTCCTCAAAGCTGATGCTGTGTTCTTACTCATGCAGGAATGTGTAACTGCTCACTCAGGTGATTTGCCGATGAAGGATGAGAGAAAAGCTCTCTTGAGTTCTTAGTAAAGGTCAGAGGTGAATAGCTCAGAATGAAAATGAAGTTCACAAGATTTAGCTCTAAAATGAGGCCAGTAGGATAGCAGGGGGCAGGAAGAGCAGAGAGAGGAAGAAAGCACATACACACACACATCAGAACAGAGGTTGCTGTCACGCATCACACTGAAATGTTATACGCCAAGGCTCCTTTGGGGAGGGGTAATAAATAAGCATATTCATCTTTTTTTTTTTTTTTTTTTGATGGAGTCTCACTGTGTCTCCTAGTCTGGAGTGCGTTGGCATGATCTAAGCTCACTACAACCTCCGCCTCCCAGGTTCAAGCGATTCTGCTGCCTCAGCCTTCCAAGTAGCTGGGATTACAGGTGCCTGCCACCACGTCTGGCTAATACTTGTACTTTTAGTAGAGATGGGGTTTCGCCATGTTTGCCAGGCTGGCCTCAAACTCCTGACCTCAAATGATCTGCCCCCTTCAGCCTCCCAAAGTGTTGGAATTACAGTCATGAGCCACCACGCCTGGCTCTAAATAAGAATATTCTTCAACTGCAGTGGGACTAAATTTCAGTACAGTAAAGCTCCTTGAAGATGCCAGTGTGGGCCAGGTCAATGCAGCTTCTGGTTTCTTGATCCCAGAAAGTTGCCAAGGCTGGATTCTGGCTTTGATTGTTTAGTAACAAGCTGAGCCATCCTAGGCAAATCTGTGACCTGTCTAAGCCTAGGATTCCACATCAGAATGTGATAATATTGATGTAGAATGTATATCATATTTCAGAGTTAATAAAATTTATCAGCCAAGTTTTGTAGCTTACTCCAGGTCCTGCATAATTCTTGTGGGGCGTCTTCCTGGGTAGTTTGTACTTTGGCTGCTGAAAATTGGATTGCTTTTCCCCTGTCAAACATGTGCACGTGTTGTAGCAAATAAATAAGACTCCTATTGAGTTTTGGATGTTTATTTTGTCTCTGACCTCCCTGATAGTTCTGTT